ATTTCTGAATGAATGTATTCATGTTAAACAATACTGGTATTTAATCTTTTTTATTTATTATATTTGCATATTTTGTAGATATGTAAACAAACATGTTATCCAAATACCAATGAAATAATAGAAATATGTTGGATAAAATAAAATTGATCAAAAAGAATAATAATAATTTATGCATATGTATATGCAAGTATGTGAGTATGTAAATAAATAATAAAAGATAAGATAAGGTGGAGTTATGAATAAATGAATGTAAATAAATAAAATGTGTAATTGTATCAACGTGTTAATAGTGTACTGTGAAATGATATAACAACGGATCACCTACATTGCGCAAGGTCATATTGTAATTTAGAAATTAATTTAAGAATTATATAATAAATATTAAAGATATATAAAGAAAATACTATTAAATAAACATTTTGATCAGTGATTATTTTGAATATTAAATAATGAGAGTAAGAAACTGAGAATGAAAGAGATAAAGCGTGAGAGAGAGAGAGAGATGAAAGATTAAAGATTTGTTGCGAATTAATATACATTTAATGTTATGAAAATGAGATTAACTTGTGATTTCAACTATGAATTACTCACAAAGAACTATAAAATTATACATATTTTCTCGTAAAATGTAATAAACACGTAAACTATAAGATTTACAATGCTTTTAACTAATTCTAATTCCGTTCAAAGTTTTAATCCTTGAACTTTTGAACTTTGTATATTAAAAATTAAAGTATACAATAGTTAATAATTAAATTATAGAAACTCCGAATCATACTAGAACATATCAAATTGACCAAGAATTTTGAATCTTGCTCATTATATTAATGGATACCTTATCCACTCATTCTGTATAATATACTTATCTAAGTATGTTATTTTGAAAACCCTATTAGCCTTAAAATATTATAGAAATTAATATTTGTATTTAATTACAATCTAACTTAGTTTATAATATATAGTTCACATAATTTAATATATTTTTTTTTCAATATGAATAATATTGCTTGAAAATAAATAGTTTTACGTTAAACGTATTGATTCTTCAATATGAGATAAGAATGAATCCGGTGATTAAACGATTTTTCTGTGTAGTCCAGAAATTTATATAAGTAAGCACGTGTTTACTCATATATATTTTCAATCTTAATGTTTAATTTTACTTTTATATTTATAATCACGATATTATTAGTAATAATTATTTAGTTATAATTTTACTTTGATAAACGTACGTATTGTTAAACGTATTTTTAACAGTAATTAATACACTTAAAAAATCAGAATGGAAATTAAAGCGGAGGTATATTAAAGGTAATTCTAAAAGTACAAAAATAAATCCATTTTTAAATTATAAAGCAATTGAATTGATAACTATTTTTATTACTTGAAAATTGGTTATTTGTAACATTTATATGTACACGCACGCGCGCGCGCGCGTATATTTTAATCATTAGGTAAAATTACTAAATCAATATTAATACAAAGTCATTCATCAAAACTAGATGCTAAATAAATAAGAAAATAAAAAATATATAATAATTTTTAATGTTTCTAGAGATAATTTGTATAAAAACCTCATTTTCATGTTTGCTTTTAGTGTAATTATGATGATAGATTATTACTAAGGTATTAGTACGAGTATGAAAATAATTAGGCTTCTACTAAAAATTTCATATTACCTAGTATTTCACTTTATGTTAAATGACATCCAAACTATCAATTGAACTATAAATATATAAGAAATATCTATTTGCAGTCTATTTAGTGGCAGCATTTTTTCAACTTTGTTACGATAAAGATATATTTTAAAATTCAATCGATAAATTTAATAATTCATAATTTATATAATTTAAACAATAAACAAATTTAAAGTATAGATTACTACTGTCGTATAGTGTCTGGTTGTATTGCGTAAACTTCAGTTTACAATAAAACTAACAACTTTTTAAAGTAATAGTATATCTTTACCTCAAATTGGATTATATATGTAACATGAAATTATCATAAAAAATGTAAAAAAAAATGCAAGTATCTATATAAATTTCAAATTCTTAAATTCAATTTAGTCAAGTATTAAACAATTTATAGGCATTTATTATTATACATAAACGATGAAAAATTGAATAATAATATTTAAGAATATAGACTACAAAAAAAATTAATATTTCATTATTTTATACGGGTACAGACAAGTTTTTCAATTTTTCTATATATATTTCTGTATATATTTCTATATATATTCTATATATATATATATATATATATATATATAATAATAAGAATAATTTTATATTAATTAATAAAGACTTACCAATTAACAGCAGCTAACATATATAATAAATTTATTACGTCGCTGTAAACATTTATGCATTGTAAACTCATTATTATATATTATTAATTATAAGTACAATCAAAGAATTAAAATTTAAAATATGTACAGTCATTAATCATACATGTTTTCATGAAAAATGAAAAAAGGTATCTTCAACTTAAAAACAAGTTTAGAATTACTGATATACAAATTTTATTTAATGTTTATTATTTCTGAGATTTGTATAGTTCATTAATTCATTATTATTAATAAAGTAAAAAAAATAAAACACGTAACACGTTCGTTTAAATATATTCATTCGCAGCACATTCATATGTACATTGTGAAAAAGAGGAGGGCGAATAAGAGGTGGGTGAGAGAGAGTGAGAGAAAGATAATATTTTTTCCATTTATAAAAATGTCATTCTAAGTTCCAATAGTGAAGCTTATAAAACCAATTAAAATACAATATATAATATTTATGTTTGACTTAATATCGAAACCAATTAAAAGTATAGTTTTTATATATTATCAACTAAAATTTTCAACTTTAGAAATGCCATAAATATAAAATAAATAAAAATATGTTACATCAAACAAAATTATTCTAGTATTTACATACATTTTAAAATTATTAAAAAAAAATTTTATGCCATAAAATATTTTCCACGATGTAAATTTAAAAATTATGATTGAATTAATTTTGCCTAAAGTTATTTAAATTTTAATAAAAGAATATTTAAATAGAACAAAGAAGAAAACATCTTACGTGAAAAATTATATTTGCAAAATATCCTTAGAGATTTTGATTTCTAACGAACGTTAGTGAATCATAATAGTAAGATACTGAATTCCTAGAATATTTTTTAGTGTAAATTAATGTAAATATTGTTAACTATTTTAACTGTATCACATCAATTCAGTTTTATTTGATACTCTTATAATTATTATTTTTAACTCAGTGTGTTTAAATACAATTACTTATTCTTAACCATAATTTGCTTAATTTTATTAATATTTAAACAACAAAATTTTAAAGGATTCAAAATTAAGAGTTGCAACATTGAACGTCTTTAATTATTCTTTAGTTGTAATATAACATTTATATTTGTAACAACAAAGAACTTATAAAATTATAGTTACAAACTAAAAATTAATTATCAATAATCTAGTATTTTAAAGTTGCTTCGGGCAAGTTTTCTACTTAATTTGTACTTCAGGTTCAATGTACTCTAAAGTTTCTACACAGTGTAATATTGCAACTTTTAATTTTTTTTTTACTTTGCGAAATAAAACTAATTTGTTTATTTCCATCGGCTTAGTCGAATGTAAATTACTTATTAAATTTACCTTTCTTCTTCTGTTGCAAAGCAAAACTTTGTTTGACTCGCTAAGAATAGTATTTTAAATCAAGAAAGTAATGAAATTTTATAATGATAATTTTATATAAATTTTATATAAATGTTCGTATTGATTTTTTCTAGATTTTTATTATTTCATTTAATTATTTACTAACGATCATCCTCAGTAATACATAATATATTTAACATTTGCTTCTACTCTTAAAAAACATTACAGAAGCAACTAAAATAGGTGGCCGCAGAAAATATAAATAACTTACTTATTTTGTATGTCTCAACGGCATACTTTCCACGAAGGTCACAATCATTATCGTTTTTATCAGACCTATAGACATAAATGGCTTAAAAACATAATTAAGTTTTATAAGCACTATATTCTTTTTAGTACCAGAGATTATTTATCAAATTAGTGTAAGATAAACGAAAAGGCAGCAAAGCCAATCCATCAGTTTGAAGCCTATTCATATATTTGCTATACTCACACCACCGATTTGTCATGTATTGGAATCAAACGTGTAAAGTAAATATGCCTATCGTGATTAACATTCAACGATTCAAGAAGTATATTATGAAATATAGAAGTTTTAAATTATAAAGTTAAATCGATGCTGAATATAAAACAACTGATTGAGTGTAATAGTATCACGTGTGTTGTTTCTTTAAATAATAGAAAGTCATGTATTCGCGCATACATAATAATACACGTTCTAAATCAATAATAAAGCAACTAAACAAAAATTCATCTGACCGAATTTCAACAAAGATACCAACTCAGAGGTGGGTACTGAATGTAAGGCGTGTTAAAGAGCAGAAGAATTATTACAGCGATACAGCTATCCGTTGCAGAATTTTATACCTTCATACAAATGTTAGCAGCGGCGCTAATATAAACAGCAATTAATCTAATAACTTTTTTTAACCATCTACAAATATGAACACCCAGGCGCGAAATCAAAATCAAACTTCATATTTCTTACTCATCCAAGCATAATTAACGTCCGATGCTTTCTAAATTATAAACATAAAATGTATTAAAATCTTGCGCACGCGTATAGCAAGTATGAACTCCAAACCTAAACTCTTTCATCTAAAATATGTGGTAAAACATATCGTAAATTACCGAGCTGTAATTTACGAAAGTATAATTTTTTATTCAAGTAGATTTATCAACCTTTAGTTGTATTTAAAAAATATTATAAATTAAGAAAATAAATGTATTATAAATATTTTGTAAATAATGCTTAATTATATTGTGATTTATGCAATATATAGCATTTTGAAAAAACAATATATAAAATTTTTAACAATTTCATTTAGTTAAAAAATAACATTGATTTACCTGATAATAATATTTGTTTATTTATGAACTATTTACACATCTCTATAAATGTTATTGGTATGAAACTATTTCTTAATTTTTTAATATTATTCACCCATTCTTTGAATAATTTTTTTAATCATTTGATGAAATAAAATGAAAGTAATGGCTGCTATTTATACGAAGTATTCATTACCTAACAATACTTTATCGTTTATAACAAAAGCATACAAAAATACTATTTTTTTTGGACCTAACCATATAGTAAGAAATATTTTCAATCAAAAGACAAATAATGAGGCCTTTGATATTATTGTTGTTGGAGGTGGTATGGTTGGAACAACATTAGCATGTGCTTTAGGTTAGTATTATAAAAAAATTTATTTTGATTTCATAAATATGATTGTGTCAAATGTAATAGTAAAATATTAATATAGTTTATGTTTCTAGCAAATAATAAATGTTTACAGTCAAAAAAGATTCTTTTACTCGAAGCTGGTAATAAGCAAAAATATGTTTCAAATGATCAGTATTCAAATAGAGTAGTTGCTTTAAATAAATATTCAAAGTTACTATTATCAAATATTGGGGCATGGAAACATATACAATCTCATAGGTTCACTCCAATTGTTAAAATGCAGGTAATATTCAGTGTATACATTTATATTTATTATATGTGCATATACAATACAATCAAATATATACAATCAAATTTGTTTAATATTGGTAATATTGGTAAGATTTTTCTATTATAAAATTAAAAAAAATAACTTAATATTTTATCATAATTATTTTCACATTTTATTATGACATATCTTTTAACAGTATATCATAATAACTATAACATTTTTATTGAAATGAATATTATATTTTGCAATATATAAATAAATTATTGGAAATATATATTACAAATTAAGTGATTTTTGTTATTGGTAAAAATTAAAAAGATTGTTTTATAGGTTTTTATTAAGATGAAGTCAAGAATATAATATAATTGTATAATTAAATGTCAATTAAATATATTTCTTCTGAACATATTTATTGTAGACAATTATTAATAATAATTTAATATTTCTGTTTGTAAAATATAATTTCAAAAGCAAATTTTTAAATTAATTATACATTTAAGCATTTTAAGCACAAGAAATTGAAAACATGAGGTTTTTAATTTATTAATTATTAAACATAATAGGTATTTGCTGTTATAACTGAATAAAAATTTTACCATATCTGTCATTTATTCCTGTTTAATAAGAGAAATATATATATATCAAAAGTATGATAGTTGGTTATTTAAACTCGAGTTTAAAAGTAATTTACAATTTGAATATTTTTTAAATAAAAATTACTAAAAAAAATGCATCTATATTAAAATAATTAAAATTTCATAAAGAAAAATCGCACTTTCAATTTCTAAAGAAAGTTTCGATTATTTTAAATTATATTTAGAATGTTTCTCGGGTGATGTGTTTCAAGGCATCTAAATAATTATTTTTGAGATAATTATAATTAACCGTTATTTATGTTAAGCATACACAGTTAAAAATAAGTTATTGACAGTTATTAAACAGGGAAGTATTTTTCAAAAGTTTTGTTTATTTTTAATCAAATGATCTTTCATCTATTTAATATTTATAATTTAATATAAATATATATTATTCATAATAAATATATTTTATAGATATGGGATGCTTATTCAGATGCAATGTTAACATTTAATGATGATTACTTATCACAAGCGTTGGCGTATATTGTTGAAAATGATTTACTATTGCATGCAGTTCATACTCAGTTATCAAAAAAAAAGTCAGTAACAATAATTAATAATGCAAAAGTTGAGCATATTAATTTATCAAATAACATTGGAATTGACTCAAATATTCTTCTAAAAAGTGGGGAGAATTTTAAAGCTAAATTATTGGTTAGTATTTATGTATTTTCTTTAAAGTTATACTTAAAAAATTTTTTATTAACTTAGTATATTTAAGTTATTAATATAGTAAACGTTTATGCTGTACTGATGATGATGCTTTAATTAAATCATTATAATAATTGCTAAATTTGTTTATATTGAAGTAGAGTCTATTGGTTGATAATAATTAACACTTTTAATGATAGTGCATCTAATGTGGAATCATTAATTTTCAAAATACACCCAATTCTGTTCTTACTAATTTGTCAAGATCAAATACTAATAAAGTTTTAGTACACTGACTACTTTATATTAGATTTAATAAAAGAACAACACATAATGTCAACAAAAATTTTTAACATATATAGAATTTTAGCATATTATGTTTTGTCATAAAAAATTATGTTTAAATACAAATTCAATTGAATTCATTTAAATTCTAATTCAACGATAATTGAAAATCACTTGATATAATATTTATAGTTATTATGTAAAACATTGAATTCACACCCAAATTCTAAAATAATAACAACTTTAAAAAGTTGATTGTAAGATGTATTTGTGTAGTCAATGTAAATTTCAAATATTAAAAATCTTTCAATAGCTACTATTATTTCAATTTGGACAATAAAAACTTCAATATCAACAATATGATGCTACCAATTAGAACTGGTTTAAAGAAAACCAGACTAGATACTATTATAACACTATGCAAAAACATTTTTCTTAGATTTAACACAAATAGAAAAAAATATTTTTAAGCAAATATTAGAAGAATATTCAAAAATATTTTAAAGGAAAGAATTTTTTTTTATAATAAAACATTTTTATTACTTTATATAATAAATTACACGAATTTGTCTAAATCTGGGACTTATTTATATAAACTTTCATATTTAAAAAGTTTTAACATATTTATTTTAATATATTCATTACATTATTAGTTTAAACAATGTAATGAAACAAGCTTTTTCTCCGAACTTAAACTACACAACTCAAAATATTAAAATAAAAATATTAATTATTTTAATTTACAATATACCTAATTATACTTTATGTAACACAATAAATGTAAAAAATAGATAGAAATTATCGATATTACGTTAAATTTGAATATATTTTTAATAGTAAGTTATTTATTTATAGAAAAATAAATATAAAAATTATAATATTGAATTTTTCAGAATATAAATTATGAAATAATTAAATATTCTTACCATAATTTTGTTTACAATAATTTTGTTTAATCATATACGATATTTGCATTAAATATAAAATATTTGCATTAAAGTTTACAAATTAAACTAAAATCAAAAAGAATAGATAAAGTAGAAACGTTTTAAAGTTAGTTATATAAAAATAAGAAATTCTAAATAAAATAATTTTCTTAAATGCTTAAATATAGATCATTTAAATAATTATAATAAAAAAAAAATTTATTACATTTTTTAGTTGTATGAATTATTTCAGAATGTATTAAGTCTATCATTTCATGATTTAATTTATAACCATTATTAATGATTTGTTCTAACCCACAAATCTATGATAATACATCTGATATATTTTGTATGATAAAATAATATGCTTTTTGTTTCATTGTTGTTCAATACGTATCGTATATTGAATTCTTTTTGAGAAAATCTTTTTATTATTTTACCAATTATATTAGTTTTAAAAGCCTATAACATAATATATTGTGTTTTAAATAATAAATACGTAAAATATTTTTAATAGCTAAATTTATACTTTTCAATAAAAATGACTATTTCTTATTAATTGAGAATTAATATATTTTAAATTCTTATTATGTTGAATTAACGAAATATAGCATAAAAATTTATCTAATTGTGCATTAAGTGTAATAATAAATTTAATTCAATTTCTTTTTAATTACTTTTTTAAAATGGTACAATTAAAAATTCTTATGTTTTAAATGTAAAATATATGGTATATTTTTGGATTTTCAGCATATTATAATATTGTTACGAAGTCACAAAAGATTAATGAATTTTTTCAGTTCATTTGAAAGAACATAAGGATCAAGAAGATAAATTAATAATAATTTAATTGAATATAATAAGCTAGCTAATAAAATCATTAATGGCAAGACATGGATTATTATTATTATTAATATAGATTTTCAAATAATGTTTATTTAATTTTAAAGAATTAGACAATTCTGTTGGATAAAATATTATCTTAAAAATATGATGTTTATTATCGTTAATATCAAGGCAAGATGCATATTTCTTATAAAATGTATGGCCAAAAAATAATATTGCACTCAAAATATAGGCATTAAACAATGAAAACAAATTATAGTTATTTCTGAACAATATTGGAATTTTTTCTTATATACTATTTTCCATATTTGCTTTTGTTTCATTACTTTATAAAATCTCGGAATTATTAATATTAATAATTAATTACTAATTATTAATATATTCAGATTAGAAATATTTATATATATAATCTAATATTTTCGTATTATAATTATTATAATTATTTTACTAAAAGTTTATAATTGATGAATTCAGATTGGTGCAGATGGACAAATGTCAAAGGTTCGAGATGCAATGGGTGTGAAATATGTTGATTGGGATTACGATCAAATGGGTATCGTTGCTACTGTCAAATTATGCGAAGTACGTATTGATGACATACGTCATATTTATCTAAACTAAAATATACGTATACTTCTCAAAATAAAATATTGAAGAAATGATGAAATAATATAAAATAACAAAATAAGAATAAAGGAAGTTTCTTTTCAGAGTTAATTGTATATTGCGTAAATACAAAATAAACATAAAAATGCAATAATTTATATTTGGATACTATCTATTGTAATAATTATTATTCTCGTCTGTATTAAAAATAACACAATTTATTATTTTTTCGATAATAATAATTTGTTCAAGTAATTTAAAATATTTAATAAAAATGTTATTTTTAAGAGTACAAATACTATTATGAATGAAAAAAAGGTAATAAAATAACCATATATTTCTATATATAATTTTCTTTATATAATTCATATTATATTTACTTAATTTTTAAACGAATCGAAAATGGTATAGGTTGTTATTGTTAAGCTATAAAATTAAAAATACCGTATAAAATCCTTTAGTAACATAAATCCAAATATAATGGCTTTTAATTTTTCTTTGTAAAATTATAAAAATTAATTTAAGGAATTTCTAATAAATACAATTAATTGTATTACATGCTAGATTTTATTATATGCTATTAAATAACATTTTTAATATTTTAATAATCATATTTTAATATTTTAAATTAAAAAAATTATTGTAATACTATTTCTATTAGAACTTGTCGAAATGTTAATAAAGTAATTATTGTAATAAAATAATTTGATTATTTTTAACACTGATTACTTTTTCTTTATATCATTATATTTTTCAAATTTTTATATTTTATAAAGTTTTTTTTTTTGTTTTAGACGATTGAAAATGTAGCATGGCAAAGATTTCTACCGAATGGTACTATCGCGTTGTTACCGGTAAGAGTAATTATATTATGATAAATTGTATAATATTCTCTCATTTTACATTAATTTCTCAAATGATTCAATATTTTTAAATAAAGTATTAATATTTAATACTCATTACATTTACAATTTATTACGAAAATATTTTAATTATTAATATTTACATTTTAATATAATTCAAATAAATTTTAAAACTTATATTAAAAATGATTGATAATGATATAATATCAAACAACTGTATTCTAAGTTATACAATGTTTTTCAAATAATTTATGTAAAGTTATATGGTTTAATAATTTTAAAGCATTCAATTTAAAGGTAATTTCAAAAAAGCAAATGTGTTGAATAATTTGATAAATATAAATTTTATTAAAACTAAACCTATTTTGCAGTTGACCAATTCATTATGCTCCCTAGTATGGTGCATTACTACAGAAGAGGCTAAAAGATTATTGCAAATTTCCGAAGAAGAATTTATTGATAATCTTAATGATGCTTTTTTGAAAGTATATCCAAAAGATGAGTTAGTTAAATGTGGAATGCAAGCTTTTAAAAAATTGTTTGAGAATTTTCAATTACCATCTGCAGTTTCAAGACAATTACAACCTTCAATTGCTGGTATTGTTGACGGATCGCGAGCTGCATTTCCATTAGGTTTTGGACATGCTTTGCATTACGTACAACCCGGTGTTGCTTTAGTAGGGTTAGTATAAATAATTACATAGATATAACAAAATAGTATTATTATTCTTATTGTATAAGATTTATCATATTAAATTAATATAAACTTTTTAATCTTTAAATATTAATAGATTTGTATTATGAATAAAATATAATATGTAATATGTTTAACAAAATTTTTAATTATGTATATTCAAACAATTACAGTTTCTAAATTTAAATAATTTGTTGTGGTATTTAGCTTAAATACTGTTTCTATTAAACAATAAAAATGTTAAAATCTTATAATTTCAAATTTACCTTAATTAAAAATCTATATTAATTTATACATGTATTTCATTTCAAAAATATAAATTGTATGACTTCATAAAAATATTGTATTTATTATTTTTAAATTTTTATATTAAATTAATCAACATATTTAATATATTTATTATTGATAAGTTTTCTAATACTACACAAATAACTTTATTTTCATTAAAATTTAGATAAAAATTCTTTTTATATTTTTCATAGATTTTCATAATATAGTTTTATGTCATTATTAATTATTCTTTAATTGTAATTATTTTATAATTCTGTTTAAATTACTACAAAAATTTGAATAGTTTCTTCATCCCTGATGAATATATTTCGTTAATTTATATCATACTTGAAACTATAATTACTATTATATTTCAGGGATGCAGCTCACAGAGTTAATCCTTTAGCTGGTCAAGGAGTTAATTTGGGATTTGGAGATGTTACAGTTTTAGTTGAAGTTCTTGCAAAGGCTGTTAATAATGGAGCATTAATAGGAGATACTACTTATTTGCATAATTATGAAAGTATAAGACTAAAGTATAATATTCCAACAATGTTAACTATTGATGCCCTACACAGATTATATAAAACAACTGCTAGTCCTATTATTCTTGCAAGAAGCTTAGGTTTACAGTTGACAAATATTGTGAAACCTTTGAAAGTAAGTTTATAAAAATTTAAGAGTTAAATTTTATCGGCCATTGAAAACAACAAATTCTTAATATTATTGAATATAAGTATAAATAAAGAATAAATAAAATTAAAAATTTTAAATGACCTCCTATATTAAAAATATTTTTCATTTTAAAAAGAAAGCTTATTTTTCTATTTGGGCAAAAAAATTTGAGATATATATATATATACGTGTGTATGTATATTATCGTATATCTAATGAATTTGCCCTGTCAATAAATAACCTGGCAATTGTAAACATGACAACGGTTGATTTATTTAGTGATTTCTAAGTTAAAACAAAAATGTTTATATTTAGATTTATAAAATTATCTTTTAAAATGTATTAATTTCAATTTTGTTATATTAAAGTCAGTTAATTTAAATTATTTTTTTCAGAATTTCTTAATAAAACATGCAGCAGGTACAGAAAATATTTAAAAGTGAAGAAAATGTATTTTAAATAATATGCTGCAAACATTTGTATATAGCATGGAATTTTAACCAAAATTATAAAATAGAAATTAACTATTTATGAAGTTTTGAAATAGTTGTATATAATTGTAAATTTAGTTTCCTTAAATTTAAATTATATTCTGTTTTCAGTAATTAATATCAATATGTACAATCGATTTTCATATTTGTATAATATTGTTTATTAAATTACAATTTAAATACTAATGTTTTGTATTAATTAATTAAATTTTAATAACAAATTAATTTTTATATATTTACTATTCAAATCCGGAAATATCCTAATTTAATTCATCCTAAATTAAATAGATACATCGAAGACTTTCTATTTATTTAGCATCTATTAAATATTTATGATTAAATGACAGCTTTCTGAAAAGTGATATTTCTAAAAAATCTAAAAACAAAAAGGTTTTTGTATATATGCTTTCAAAGAGATGCTAAATATAATAAAAACGTATAATAAAACATAAGAAATACATCACTAATGACTTTTCCATTTCCACTGGTTAATACAGTTTTATTTTTATATTTAAAAAATAATATGAAATACAATCGATGAATTATTTGCAAAATTACTAAAGAATTTGTACATTATACAATTTTTCAGTAATAATAAATTTAAAAATTATAAATGGATTAAGTTTTAATATTAATTTCTGCAAATTATTGTAATATATATCAACTTTAATAGGTAATTTTTATATTAATGTAGAAATCTATTTTAGATTATAAACTGTCAATTTTTCAATTTAAATATATGCAAAATAATATATTTTCTTATAATTGAAACAATAAATACTATAAATCATATTATTTATAATTTAATTTAAAAATGAAATATTGTTAAATAAAAACAAATTAACTATAAATAGATTTGTATAGATTTCAGTATATTCTTTTTCTATCTAGGTATGCCCAGTTGGAAATTCTGTCACCAAAGATATTTATAAAAATTAAAATATTTTTAACAATATTTTAAAGAATTGTTTATTTTATATGAATTCTATATATGAATTAAAAAGCAGAAAAAAAATTTACAGATTTTATATCAGAACTACAAATAGCCATGTTTTATTGATTTTATTAAATTGTCATTGTTCATCATAATTATAATTATTATTGTTATAATTATGATTTTACTTAATTATAATAATGAAATGTTATTATAATTTTATAATTATTATTTTAGATAGTATAAAATTTTTTAATGTCACATCCATTTTGTAGCTAATGCTGTTATGAATGAGAATATTGAGCCATTTCTAGACATCGAACGATTTAAAAAAGGAGATATCCAGAAACTAATTTCATATTATGCAGATAATTTTTCTGCAAAATTCATGGATAATCTGTTCACTTATAACTCTATAAACTTTTATACAAATGTTTAGTTATGTAATTTATTAATTATAATTAAATACAAACACTTAAATGTGTGTTTATATACACATGTGAAATATAATAAGTGCTGAGATATTCATTTATTAACATATAATTATATGAATTGTAAATAAAATATTTAATTATGTAAAATTCAATTATTATTTTTAATATAATGTTGACCATCATAACATGCTACAGCAAATCACCGATGTTTTTTTCCTTATCTGAGCTTATAAATTTAACATCTTATAAAAATGAAAAGACCAGTAGTAATAAAAAGGTTGAACACCGTTGAAGGCGATAGTTTATTTCTATTGCCTGTTGATATAAGGTACTTTTAAAACGGTTAAAGGAAATGGGTATTCTTTATTTTTCTTTAAAGTATCAGTTTCTTTCATAACGTCTATCCAGCCAAATCTGATTCAAGTTCTTTAACTATTTTAATCATTTGAAATCCGTCTACTTAATATAAAAATTATTAAATAGTATATTTAAGATTATTTCCTACTTAATCAAAATTCTAAACTCATTCACACTATAAATCTCTCCAGGCATGTTCACACTTTTAAGGAGAAGCAAAAAATAATAAACAGAATTTCGTTCCAAACCCGTGACATAAAGTAGAACCGGTAATTGTAACGGACTAATTATTAGAAACGGCCGACGATAAGGTAATTACCGAAAAAAAATATATTGAAAAATATTAAATGTATAAAAATTTGATAATAATAACTAAAAATATGAATATTAAAAAATATTTTACTAGTTATACGAATACTAGAAAAAACAATAAGGCAATAATTTGTAATATTCTTATATCCATTTATTAACAGGAAATTTAATTTATAAATATATAATTTCTGTCCATATAACAGTTGAATATATTTTTCGAATTTTGAATAAATTTTTTAAATCCTTTTCTCATTTTTTCAACAAAAATTTGAAATGAGCGCGTAAAACAAGCAATTGCTCCTATACAAACACCAAAAAACATTTTATATTACTGGTTTAATTATCGCATTTTCAATTGCATCTTCATATCTGAAAATACAAAGTTATAATATATTTTGTTTGTGTAAATAGATGATTTAGATTGTTTTCACAACAATGTATAATCTTAACAAAATATCAAATGTAATTTTATTATATTTTATCATAACCTTGAAAACTCGAATAAAACTATTATTCTAAATATTTTACAAATTAAATACTAAATGATATTTTGTAATTTTAGGTATTGTATACTATTTCAAAATTTACAAAAAAAAGATTTTTTCAAACATGTTTATCAATGAATAAAAGTCAATCAGGACGATATAAGATAACTAATAAAAGAAGTAGACCACTTACATACGAAATGGCTAAACCACCATATGAAATAGCTCACAAAAAATCTTGGAATTCATGGAATACATGTATTAATATATCTTCCAATTTTAAAATATAATATTAATATATTAATTCGTTAGGAGTTAAGTAATAAATTTCTTTACAGCTAATATAATTAATGGTAATAGACCAATGGAATGCGCAGTAGAAGATTTATTTATCAGAAAATTTTTAACAGGGACATGGTGCACTTTGTTTCTTAGTGAGATTATTATTAAGCGTAATCATAATATGATCAGAATAGCTGGTATTGTCAAAAAATCATATGATCCAATTAAATATTATTTCTTAATTGGTTATACAGAAGAACTTCTTAGTTATTATTTGCACTGTCCTGTTAAACTTGAGTTACAGTCAGCGATGAATGAAGATATTATTTTTAAATATATATAATAAAATTTATTTTTATTGTACACATTTTATTTATTTAGATTCATTAACAATGCTAATTTATCAAATTTATCTTGCCATTTGATCATCGTTTCTTTAGGATTATGCTGAAAATTGGTATTCTTTATATATTAAGTTATATTTGTTTATACGAAAAATTTAAAGGTGAATAAATTTTACCTGCATAATATGAACGCTACGTTGAGTAAGAATTACTAGAACTTTTACTCCATCACCAGCCAAGTCTATGTAATTTATTGAATGAACTGGTGCATCAAAATGTTTTTTGTCAATTATTTTCCAAGTATCTTTTAGAAAAGCAAATATTAAAACTTCTTGTTTATATGTTCCTAACAAAATTTCGTTTTTACCATCTAAATTTATATCTGCTATACAAGAACACAAAATGCAATCAGATGTTAATTCATTTCCACTTAACATTATATCAGAATGCATCTGTTGATTTAAAATATCTCTAAAATAAAAACATTAGATTTGTAAATAATTTATTATTATTTAATTATATATACTTACTGAAATATAATTGTTACATTGCCAGTAATTAAAAGAACATTTAATTTAAATTCCTTCTTTTCATCTAAAAAATAAGTTACGAATACAATACAATAAAAAATTTAATTAAATAGTGCATATGAATATGAATAGTACCATATTCAACTTCGATAAAAGCTGGTTTTTTTATTTCATATTGATGAGGAAATATTCTTACATTACATACAGGATTATCATATCTTAAAACCCAAATTTGAATTATTTTTAAAATTTCAACATTTACTTTAGCCAATTTGAATAATCCACATTCACAAGAAACTGCTGTTATTCTCCTAAAAAAATGTTTCAATAAGTTTTCTTAAAATGACAAATTAATTTTATTTACCTCTTAAAATCTTTATAATAATAAATATCAATCCATAATGCAATTGCTTCTAATGCATCTAATTCTGGGAAATATTTTTCTAATTGTGACTCTGTGTAACTATGATTAGTTTTATCTTCTTTTATCATGTGTATTTTATTGTCATTTCCAGATATAAGCCAAACAAACTGGATGAAAATTATATCGTATTTCTATAACATTCTTAAATTTTAAATTATAAGGATATATTTTATTAACCTCGCTACCAGATGATTGTGGAATTACTGTATGATATAATAGATAAGGAGTATATGATAATTCAATCATTAAACAATTCTGAGCAATAACTTCTAAGGAATTACTGTCTTCTCCGTCACTTAATCCTTCAGTATATATATTTAAATAGCGTTCAATATTAGTTTCTCCACTTGATTTCATTATAGTAATACCTATAACAAATTCATCTCCAATATTTGACTTATTGTAGGCATCTATAGCAATAATTTCAGCACCATCTAAAATAATTTGAATGAATTTCATTTAATTTCCAAAATTACTTATAAGATAATAATTTACTTGGAATATATGTAAAAACAAGCTCTTTAACGAGTGGTTTTAATATCCATTTTGATTGTTGATATTCAAATGAATAAATTTTACGCTTTAATGATGCAACTAATATTTTTCCACATCCTTTTGATGATTTCAAAGTAGCTAATGAATAAATATTGCCTTGAGACGCCAAAGGAAACCAATGACCATATATTAAATCAATCATTATAATTTAAAAATATTACATGAATCTAAAATAAATGTGTGATGTATACATGTAAAACAAACTGTAAAAAAATAATTTATAAAAAATTAATAAAATAGTATTTATAAATATTTCCTAATATATTCATAAGTATATTTATTTATACAATAAAAAAAATATTTTATAAATATACAACTTTATGTGTAATTGAAGCATAGAAAAAACCCTACGTTTACGAATTTTAAAAGAATGTAGATCCTGAAATTTCAAAGGTTTGTGAAAAAAAATATTTTTATATAAAGTTTTTCTCAATAATATAATATAATTGGGATTACAATAAACAAATAATAAAATGAAGAAACAAGTTAAAAAATTGTAATAATAATTAGTACAATAAAGTTTCTCGAAAACTAAAATATATGAACCTATTGGAATCAAATGAAAAATCTTAAAAATAGAAATATTTTACTACAATTATCAAACAAAACAAATCTTTTTAATACAAATTTAAAATTAAACCAATTATTTGGATAAATTTATTTAATTATTTTGATAATATAAAAAATTTTCCATATTAACATTAATTGATACCATCAGAAAATATTTATAATAATTTCATTTTACAATAAACTACATGATTATAACCTGAAAAATTAAAGTTGCTACACAAACGTAAATATAACCGAAAAACTTTTTACTACATAAGGCTTAATTAATTCAAAACTTTTACTTATTTATAAAAAGTAATACATTTTATTATCACTTCATTCACATTTAATTAAAACAATACTTAATAATAATAAAAATTATAGAAATTGTTAACTACATAATTTGTAAAATTTCAAATTTAATATCTGTAATATTGAGTCAAAGTACAAAAACTTATTTAAAAATTAATCAAATTTCTAACAAATCTATAAATAAAATAGTTTATAAGTAAACTAGAATACATATCGTAAACTACATGTATTATTAAAAAAAGTATGAACATAAATTTCAATTGAAATAATTTAAAATATGATCATTTAACAAATTAAAATGCAGTTATAATAATTAACAACAGACTTATAGTTCTCTAGAAAATAAAAAGAAAGAAAAATAAAAAATATCAGAAAATGAAAAACAATAAAATAAAAACATTTGCTTTGTTTACATTTCTGAAAAAACTATTATAAAATTATATTTATATTATTTTGTAAAAATTGTAAAAGCATCGATTTAAATATAGCCTGCATATAACAAAAATATACTGTTTTTAATAACCAGAAAACTATTAGAATGACCTAAAATTAATTACTAATTAATAATATAACATCTTACGCGACAAAAGACAATTCATCTTATAACAATTGCATATCGATCGCTAAACATGAAAAGTACACATAAATTATCAAGAATTATTTAGAATTACTTAAATTATACAAAATAACTCGTAAGAGAAAAGAATTTTAATGAGTGTATCATTTATTAAAAAAAATTTTCTTCCGATAATATATAAGAAATTAATATTATCTTAAACAATTGGAGATGTACGAAGAATCTTAACATTATCATTAATTGCAAGAGTATATTCATGTTTTCATCTATTTCTTATAGATGATATATTGTCATAATATATATATATATATATATATATATATATATATATATCTAGTAATGATTATATGCAAACTACTAATATATGGTATATTACATAGAAAATTTTCATAAATTTTAATGTATATTTGGAAACTAACATAATTTTTGTAGTTAATGTATTTGAGAATTTTATCAATAATTGTATTACAGCTAATAATCTGGATTCAGCTTATTATGGCACAACGTTTGGCTAAAGTAAGATATAATATTAACATTTACTGAAGTTCAAATAGAACAATCCATAAATATTGATACACTTTTAATTACTGAAAGGGATTCAAAATAAATTGCCACCCATAAAAATATATTATATATTGCTCATAGTTAGCAAAACTATAATTAATATAATAAAATATATATGTAGATAACAGTTTTTTATTTTTATCAAATACATTAATATGTTTTTCATTAGAATTATACAAAAATTAGATTGGTAACACCCATAAACTTATATATTGAGTTTTTTTTAATTTAATCAGTGACGTTGCTACATATCAAATTATAAAAGAATAAATTTATTTATTTAATACATTTCACTATCCTAGGGATAATAAGTTTAGCCTATCATTGATAAATAAAAAGATTATAGAAGTAAAGAAGGATAATATAATGTTAACATAATACTTGAATTTGTGGATTACGTAATAAAAATTATAATATAAGAATTGAAAGTTGAAAACGGATTTAAAAAGTGAAAGGTATAAGAGCATGGACAATTAATAATTTTTTATTACTACATTATATATTTTTATTAAAATAATATAAATAGAAATCACAAATCGAAAATATTAGATTCGGACTTTAAATAAGCTAAACAAAATATCTCTACTTCAAACATTATACGCCATCTACAATCCAGAAAAAGAGAGACACTATATTCATATCTTATACTAGAGTTTTTTTTTAATGATTTTTTTATGTAGAAAATAGTGAAAATGCATCTAATTATTAAAGGAAGGGTTGTACGATGGAAGTTAAAAGGTTAAAGTATGGAAACTATTACTTAAGTAAGCCACTTCATACATAAGTACACATTATTATCTAAAGTTACAATAAATGAGGGCAATAAATTGAATTTCATTTAAATAGAGAACTATAAGCAAGGATTTTTATTAGCAGAATAAACAATAGGCATCTCTATTTAAATGGTATATAATTACGTTTTAAAGTTGAATGTGTAAGTAAAATAAAATTTTTTCATTAAAGAAATTTATTGTGTCGGAAATGAAAGAAGTAATCATCAAATAAAAACTCAAAACTAAGATAAAAAATAATACTGTCATCATAAAACATTAAATTTCAAAATAGTTCAAATATAGGATATTGTATGATATAATAGATATATTTTATCAATGAAATATAAAATATTATTTTCTATATATTTGAAAAATAATGAAAGATATTTAAGTTTTCAATTATTTATTAAATCATATCCAATAATGTTTAGCAATGATAAAATTCATGTATCTATTAAAAATTATGAAGTATTGATCCTCTTCTCAATTAAGTTTCTGGCTATACATCGAAAATATTTAAAATGAAATAAATTGGTAATAATTCAAATCATATTAGTTGATCATTAATCATTATTTTTTTATATAAAATATGAAACCGATGCTATAGAAATTATTAAATACAAATATTTTATTGGTTTTGTAAAAATTTAGATTTCTCATAATGTAAATATAAACTATAGATGCAAAATTGAGATGAATTTATATTGGAAAAAAAACATTTTCAATAATATTGAGTATTTTGCTGTTATATTCGCATGGAATATAATTCTTACATGTTTTTTGGATTAATAAAAATTTATATAAATGCAACATAAGAATTCATGTATGTAAAATCAAAAAATTATTTAATGTATTTGTATAAGAGCAATTAATATCAAATATCAAATTTCAATTTTATAAATTATACATTTGTAAAAAATACATTATTAAATCCTACATAATATTATCTAATGCATGTAAACTTATTTATGTATATATATATATTTAAAGAAACAAGTGCAAATATATATATTTGAATGTTTAACTAAATTTATTTATATCTACCATGTTACTTTTACAATTCACTTTCACTATCAAGCCAGGAAAATTTATTACACACTTAACATTTTATTACATTTTGTTATATTATTTAAATTAAATTAAATTACATTAAATACATTTTGTTTATCTTATCTTAAATTCATATAATAATTTACACACTATAAATTTTTTGACTGTGTAATCTAAATGTATTTATTGTAATGTATTAAATGTATTTGAGTATATAATATTTTATCTAGCATGCTAAGACTACTATAATATGGATTTTTATTAATTTATTCAATATAATTTATGATCGATATAGAACTTAATAATTGAACTGGAAATATTAGGTATTTTAATATTAAGTATTTTAATTAAGGAGTTTTAATATTCTGAGTTTATTTATAATGCATTTATAAATTTAGAAAACTGTAAACTTCACCCTAATATGTAATTGCATTTGCTGAAATTACTATTACACATGGATAGATATATCTATCAAAATAAATTATGAAATGGTTTAATGAATCCTTATATTTTGAAAAATATAAGAATATGTAGAAAAATTTTTATTTAAAGATACAATTATTGTTAACGTTTTATTTAATAACCAATACTTATTGTTCTCTCTTCAAAATAATTAAATAATTTTTATACACATTTCAATTACATCATATACTAAAAATTTCATAATTTTAATTCAATACAAAATTATTATTTTTAATCATAGATAAATGATCATAGATAAATTTAATTTGAAATATTTTCTCTGATTTTATGAATATTTTTCTTTTACTTTTAAAGGCCATATAAGTGTGCCTAACTATTGAACATGATTGTATTGTTACACTAAATTTTTTTTTATATTTAATCGATCTATTATATTAGAGAAATTATTTGAAAAATAATTCATATGCCTACAATAAGTAGAGGGACAGATCAAGAAATATAGATAGAGAACAAGTGATAGAAAGGAAGCTAGAGAAAAATATATAAAATGCTTTATATATAAGATATAAGATATTTTATATATAAGAATATATAAAATATGTATTTTATGCTAATGAACAGTTATGAATTTAGTACAATAATGAAAACAGTCTTAAGATTTAACATACTTAAGAGTAATATTTTCACATTTTATTCAATAGTAAGGAATTATTCAACAAATACAATTATTTCTAAAATAATTCAGCATATAAATGGTTGATTTTTAATTTAAATTGATAATTTAAACTTTTATAATTTATTGTATAAAATAATCGAAGTTATGTTACAAAGCGAAAGAGTAGAGTTGAGAATATTAAAGATTATTCTTAAAATTATTTATTAAATTCTTATCATTGTCTTAAAATCATTGGTTTATATTATTTTTTTAATCGTTTATTTTCAATATTATTAATATTAATAGTTATTAAAAAAGAAATTACTTATTTCATATATCTCTTTAAATTTAAAAGAAAGAAATTGACATATCTCTTGAAAATTAACAACAAATTACTTCCAGAATTTAAAAACATAATTTAGGAAACTTTGAATTAATTTGGAATTAATATAAAATGATATAATTAAATTACATGATTTTTTTACTTCACATTATTATAATTAGAATAATAATAAAATGAAAAAAAAAATACATCAGATTATTTTAAATAGTATTTTTATAGTAATTAAAGCGATTAGAATTTAACCTTATTTCATTTTAAGCGACCTGCTTTCTTTATTTAATAATTTTTATATCATAAGTAATATTTAAAACTGCGCGCTTAAAAATATAGAATTTTTATAAGCTACCTACAAAAATATTTACCTTATAAAAATATTTATTAAAAATTTTAATGAGGAAAATCGAAAGTTCATTAAGTAGTCGAAAAGAGAAATTGCCATTACTTTAAATGTCATCTATCCCATTAGGAGAGAGTAAACGGATATAAATGATGAATAAGAACGAAAGAATGTGAGCCTAATCATAACCTACAGTTATTCAATAATATTACAAATAGTATGACAGTCCTATTCAAATTATTTCATTTTAACTCTTTTAAATAATGTATGATTTGGTAAAAAGTAATATAAAAATTTTATTAAATTTTTTTGTAATATATAAAAGTTGATAATATAATTATTAAATAACAAATTCAGGTACATAATAAAATATTTATATATAAAAAAAATAATACAAATTTTAAGAATGCATACGAAATATACTTTTTTATGTTTATTGCCAAGTGTTTTGTTTCAGAATTAGTGGAATATGTACATATCAAAAAAAACTGTTCAATTAGTTTCTGCTGCTACAGTAGGATTCGGAACATTGGCATCATTAAGAGCAAATGAGTATGATTTTAGTGCAATTGGAATTGTACGTCTATGCCGTGCAGCAGTTACTGTTTATGTAATAGGAAGTCATTATAAAAAATCATTGTATAATAGTAATTTAGATAAAAAATGTAAGGAATATCAACTTAGAAAATCTGAAGCACATGCATTTGGAGCAAAACAGTTATTGAAACTTTGTTGTGATAATAAAGGAGTTTATATAAAAGTTGGACAGCATATCGGAGCTTTAGATTACCTTTTACCAGAAGAGTATGTTAAAACCATGAAAATTTTACATAATTCTGCACCGAAATCATCATTTAAAGATGTTCTAACAGTGTTACAGGAAGATTTCAAGAAAAATCCATATGAAATATTTGAATCCATAGAGAAAGAACCCCTTGGTACGGCTAGTTTAGCACAGGTACATAAAGCTGTTTTAAAAAATGGTCATCCAGTAGCAGTAAAAGTTCAACATCGAACTGTTAAAACAAATTCTTATGTTGATATAAAAACTATGTCAGTTTTAGTCAAAATTACTTCTTGGATTTTTCCAGACTTTAAATTTGATTGGTTAGTAGATGAAACAAAAAAAAATATCCCTAGAGAACTTGATTTCAATTTGGAAGGCAAAAATGCAGAAAAAGTTAAAATGTTATTTAGTAATTATAGTTGGCTACACATACCAAAAATTTATTGGGATGTTTCATCAAATCGAGTTTTGACAATGGAATTTATTGATGGTGGACAAGTTAATGATATTAAATATTATCAAGATAACAAAATAAATCCTTATGAAATTAGTAATAAATTGGGTTCCTTATACAGTCATATGATATTTATTACTGGATTTGTTCATTCAGATCCACATCCAGGGAATATTATGATAAGAAAAAATAATAATAAACCTGAAATTGTACTTTTAGATCATGGATTATATGCTGAACTATCGGATAAGTTCCGATGGGAATATTCTAAATTATGGCTTGCTATTTTAAATAGTGATAAAGTTGCTATGCAAAAGCATTCTGCAAATTTAGGTGTAAATGACATGTATGGATTATTAGCCTGTATGGTTTCTGGTAGGACATGGGATACAATTATAAATGGTGTACAAAAAATAAGATATAGTTCTGATGAAAAAGATCTTTTCCAGAAAGAAATACCAGATTTGTTACCAAAAATTACCGAAGTATTAGAGAAAGTTAATAGAAATATGTTATTAGTTTTGAAAACAAATGATTTAATTCGTAGTATCGAGTACAATTTAAATACACATACTCAAATGTCTGCTTTTTTAGAGATGTCAAAATGTTGTGTGAAATCTGTTTATGGAGAAAAACTAAAAAATTGTACATCAAGATGGTCAATGTGGTTCATATTTTTACAAGAACAATGGTCACTTTTTAAAATTGTTTTATATTATACATATCTAGGCATGGCAAACTTTAATATAAAAGTTTAGATATGTATATTGATATGTATAGATATGTATATGATGTTTATTTAAATTAGTATTAATTTGATAAATATTGTAAATTACATACATTGAAAATAATACAAACTCATAGTAACAACTATTTTTAAAAGCTATATGAATTTGTAAATAATAGACTTGTAAACATTTAATATAAATAATATAAAATTATCCCCTAAAATATTGTATCACAAAAAGTTCCAAATATAACAATCATATTTTTGTAAAAAAATACTTCAAATATTTATTTGTATTTATAATAATATATTTGTATTGATTTGTTATTTAATTAATTAACCATAAAAATCTTATTTTTGTTATTTTAGTATTTTATTAATTATTTTTAAAATGTTGTAAGTCATGATTAAATAAAAACATTAATAAATTTTCAAATTTTGTATATTATTTTCAATCAAATTTATTACATGAATATTTTTTAAATAAATAAATATATTGTATTATTTTGGTTTTTATAAAAAAATTTTTTTACTAATTAAAAAGAAATTTTAAATTAAAAGTAAATAAATTGTTTTGTGTCTTGTTTTATATGAGATTTCTTTATATTCTATAAAAACTTTCTTTAATATGAAATTTATTTTTGAGAAATAAATTAGATAAGTGTTTCAGACATTAAACGAATAAATGAAGGGTAAAATTTGTAAAGCCAATTTCCTTAGTTTTATACTTATCGTGTTCAAACATAAATTTGATATGATGGGAAAATTGTAAAATATTAAAAGAACTGAAAATTCTTCACAATTTAAACAAGATATTACTAGTTTCTTTATACTTCAAAATACATGCGATTTTTTCATGTAGAAAATATCTTATTCTTATTTTAAAACATTTATGTCCTAATTGCGTATTTAACACATTTATATATCCCATAAATATAATGAAGTAAATTCAGTTTAATATTTTTAAAAACTATTATAAAAAATGTAATTAATAATATAAAAATAATGCAGTTTTATCAAGTTCAATAATATTTGATTTTCTGATGATGCTAATATGTCATACGTTCATTAGCACCATATGATCCGAGAAGTTTGTTAATTATACACAAACTTTATATCACTATATTCACTGTTACATTTTCTTATATAAACCTTAAGCAATTCATCAGAATATTAAAGGATATTTTGTAAATTTAAATTTAAATTACTATTACATTTTTAAAGAATAAAATGAATTATTATTGATAATTGAATAGTACAATGTATATAATTCAAAAACAAAAAATATAATAACAATTTGTTAGGTATCAATATTTTGCTAATACAAAATCGTAATATCAGATTAATATTTCTTATTTTCTTAAAAAAATACAATGTATTTTAAACGTAAAATATTTATAATAATATGAGTGAGTCAATATATTGTTTATTAATTTTATTTTTAATATTCGTTGACTCTCGATGGTTACATTTATCTCACATTTTATATTCTTAGAATGTATTTATAATTTTAAATTTAAATAATATAAAGCAATATAGTATTAATTTAGCTGTTAACTTCCGTTAGCAGCTTTTAAATAATTAAAGTTAACAAATCTGTTGAGTATTTAGAATTTATTATATTTAAATATATATAAGTCATGAATAAAGTTATATGCAATCTACGTATAATTTACGTATTATATAATTAGCATACAAAAAAAATAAATATTTAAATTTAAACTGAAATCAAAATATGTAATTGCTATGTAATTTAAAGATATCATAAAATAGTAATATCCATTATTCTTTTATAATCTAAAAAAGTCAAGAAAACATTGTTTCCATATTCAATATATTTAACAGAAAAAATAGAATCTAAATCGAAACTTTTTGATTTTGAAAAAAGTTGATATCAAAAACTTTGTTTTATTTATACTTTCTATATCATTATATAGAATATCATTGTTAAAATCAATTCAATCATAAAAAAAAATATTAATATAATCACCCGCCTATTTTATAAATGTTATAATAATAATTATATATAATTATAAGGAAAAATTTTAAATAATACAACATTCTATAATTTTTCAATCAACTGATAGAATAAATAGTAAAAATGAGAAATAAATGGAATTTGTTAAAGAAACATTCAAATAGTCCAAATCAGCTTAAAATGAAATAACATTTTAAAATCCAGCTTTTAAACTTTAGTGCATTTCTCTGCTGTATATTCAGTATATAATTTATATAAGATAATATTACTTATTGTTTTTTATTCTATGCGTGAGTATATTCATAAATAAATTTTAGATATTTTATATTAATACATTTTTTTTATAAGCAAAATTCATTTAAAACTGAAAACTGTAATATTTATTATTTGTTTTACATTCAACTAAAAAAAAATTCTTAGAATTTTTTTGTAAATATTGAAACAAAAAATTTAATGTTTCTTTAATCAATTGTACCATTATTATTAATCTTGTGGGAACACCTTGATGAATATGATATTAAAATTAAGCTAAAAAAAAGTAAATTGCTTAAACTTCTATTGCGCATGCTTTTAGAAGGTGCACTTTTTTCAGTGATTGCAATGTAGTTTGGATATAGTAGTTACTTCGTTTGTGATAACAATATTTTGTTTATCGAATTATTTAATAATATTACTTAAAATTAATTATCACCGTGGAGTCCAAACATTTTAACATGAGACGAGCTCATTCAAGTAATATTATGCATAAAATTTGTAATGGATATTTTATTTAATATATGGTTTTTTAAAAGGTTATGGCTACGAACCACTGCCTAGTACATCATCTAATTCATTAGAAGAAGAAAATGACCGTATGACCGATGAATTAAAAGACAAGATACATGCACTAAAATCATTGTCCATTGATATTGGTACAGAGGTTAAATATCAAGATAAAATGCTACGTGACATGGTTAATATTTATCTAAACTTAGAAATTTAATTTAAATTACAAACAAATTAATATAAGTTCTGATTCACTTTTGTGTACACTAAATGTCATGTTTTATATCAAGTATATAGTTATATAAATATTCATATAAACATATAAATATGTGTCAAAGTAAATTTTATTTTGGACTAGGTACTTTTCTGTATATTAAAATAATCTATTTTAAAGCCATATCTATACATTAATAATTTTTGTTCTTTCTTTGTTCTTTTTTTGTTTTTTGTTTCAAATTATATATTTAAAAAAAATTTACAATCTATCGATAGTTTTATATATTATTTATTTTCTAGGATGATGATTTTGAAAGAACAAGTGGATCTCTTTCTCGATCAGTTACAAGAGTGCTCAGGATGGCTAAAGGAAGTCAGAACTATTATATAGTATATTTATTTTTTTTTTCAATAGGTATATTTTTTTTCTTGTGGATTTTTTTTAAGTTTAAATGAAGTATAAATGGTTATTTAATTTACGATATTTCTATTAATATAATATTAATAAAATCTATTTTATATTTTGGATATTGTATAAAAAAATTTGAAAATGTAAATATTTGAAATAACTCATGCAATCATATTTTATTTATGTTTTAAATAAAATATATATATATACATATATGTACATTTTTGTTTAAATTATATTTTAGAGTTGTATGAAAAATTAATATTATGTTAATATATTTTTATGCAAATATTACTTGATAAATGTTTTAAATCTATAAAAAGTATGATATTAAACGTAACAGATTTATTTTAAATTGATCGTTTAGTTTTAAAGTTCGTTTTGATTGTGCTAATTTTAATAAATATATATTTTTGTAGTTATAAAATATTTTGAAGAATGAAATAATATTTATGTATATCAATTATATATACTTTACACATTATGCTTTGAGAAATTTTTGATAATTTTTGATATATTAATAAATTTTAATTGAAATTTAATTGCCAATATTTTCTAATAACTTATATAATTTATATATCTATTTATATGACTAAATATTTGAAATATGTTACATTCAACAATAAATTTTTTAAATTATGACTCACATGATCAATATATTCAAATATTTGTGAATCATTATATAAACATTATTCATCCGATATTAAAATTGAGGATATTTTATTATGAAGAATCTAGAATTAATTTAAATGGCAGAAATTTTCATATATTTTTAAATTCCCTTTTGTTAAGTGGTTAATTTGTCTGACACTGTTAAAAGAATATTAAGATTTATATAAAAAAAAGATAACAGGTACATAATATTAGATAATAAAATAAATGGTAAGAAAAATTAATTTTAAATGAAACTTTTACTAACTTTATTATTGGGAACATAGCTAAAATGTAATACAAAAAAAATTCATCTTATAATATACACAAAATATAAAATGCATATGAGATATTACTCTAATCTTATGAATTACAATGTGTTCGATTTGTATATAATGTTTTATATAGTATTTAAATAAATATTAATAGAAATTAAGTATTTATATTTATATTTTTAAAAGTGAAATATAAAAATTTATCTCATTATCTGTATATTTTTCATTTCTAAATATTATCTCATATATTTTGTAAAAATTTTTATTATAAGTTATTTTTTAAGTGTTATATAAATGCCCATATTTGTTTCATACATTGTATTTGAAGCTAGTAATATCTAAAATTAAAATAATTCATATTACAAAATTATATTATATCATTCTAATTTATTAAATGTCAAAAGTTTAATATATTTTCAATTATCTTTAAAAACAATAAATTAAAAAAAAGCATAGTAATATATAATGAATTTAAGAATCTTCTAAATTAATATACTAAATGTTGATTTACATATATGTTTATATTACTCCGTAATTATACAATTATTTTAAAAAATACAAATATCGCACCAGACTTTCATTGATTTTATATAGAGGAATACAAAATACGTTTAAAATATTGATTGCAATGACAGTAAAACTAATTAAATTGAAAAGATTGATAGCAAAAATCCTTCATGTATGTAGAAATGTATGGTTCCAGATTAAATTAATATTATTACAGGATTTTGATACAGTAGTTTATCAAATTATACAATCGAAAAAAAATACAGCAAGAATAACGGAAGAAAATTAAAAATGGAGTTAATGAAAAAAAAAGGAATTTTCATCATTTGTATGTGAAATGTTTCTTCACGATCTTGGTTTTTATCTGTAATATTAATTTAAACTGGTACTCCTATATAATATTCTTTACTTTGTATAAATTCTTTCGCTATACCAAAACCAATGATGACAATATATTGTTATACCAAAACTAATGATGACAATATAAATCCTCATGACGTTGCTCGTGATAACAAACAATGCAACCTTAAACTATTTAACTGTTGAGCTACATATGTAACGTAGACAAAACCATTTCTCATACAATACGTGTACGTAATTTTACCGATTCGTGTTAAATTTAATTAAATGTAAAATAATTCGTAAATGTATAGTGTCGTTTCTTAATATTTATTAATAATTATTTTTTATAGTATATTTAAATATATATTTTTTTAATTTTCTGTATTTAGTTAATAACTTATTTATTTTATTTAACTTAATATACACTGAAAATATTTTTAATAAATTAATTCAATATTGTTGTAAAATTTGAATTCTTATTAATTTACATTTTTTATTTAAATTCTTTAAACAACAAGATTTCTAACTTATTTTTAGTTAATATGTACAAATATATAAGGGAACTTTTTATTTTTTCTTTAAAATTTTACATTAAATAAACTATTAAGTATTTTAAAGAACAAAAACTTAACTCGTGTCAAAATGTTTAATGAAGTTTATCGACGAACATATACATAATAAGTTATAAATATAATAATTTATATTGTAATATCGTAATGGATTAATGATATCAATTTTGATTAAATATATTTGTTTGTTGATTAATCTTTAAGTACTGCAGTGTCAAATAGGAATTAACTTCTTAATAATGTAAATTAGAATAACTAAAAAAGGATACAAATAGCGAAAAAATAAAAAGATTAATAGAAGAGGTGAAAAAATGAAAGAGCGATGTAAGTAAATAGAAAGAAAAATAGAACATAACGATTGAATGACAAGACTGGTCTTAAGTAATATGATGAAAAATAATACGTTTGCCTTATTTAGTGATACAACTACAATAAATCATTTCAAAATCGTTAATCATCATATTCTACGATTCGCGAGAAAATCTGATGGTTCATGCTTATACATTTAAGTTTATCTTACTTATAGCTGAACTAGAATTTGTTATCTGAAGAATAAGAAAATAATGTTGTTGATATTCGTAATTATAAATACGAATAAAATTTCAAAATATTTATTTTTAAAAATATAATTGATTAATACTTGTGAATATAAAAATGATAAGCTTCAGCATATATTGAGACTAAGTTATATTTATATAAAAAAAATTTATTATTGCAACTAATATAATATAATAATCTTATATTAATTTTTTCATAATATACACTAATATGCGACACACTTGTATTTAAAAAGTTAAAGTAAATAATTTTAATTACAATACTAGGACACGTGTTTTACAAACGTCAAATACCGTGAGTGGTATGTTAAAATGTTACTTGGAACGGAAGGTACGGACAGATATATGAAAGAAACGGATTGCTACTCATGCTTCAAAAATAAAAAAAAACTCAGGCAGTATATAAATGCCCTTACTCCCGTAATATTTATATGATTCCAATTTGGTGTACTCAGATTTTTCATTAAAATATATATTATCATATCGATAAATATATACAAATTATATCATTTAATAAATTCTAAATATAACGTTAAGATATTAAAAACATTTAGAAATATTATCTATTGGCTTATATAATCATTATCAGTTTTTCAATTTTATATTTACTATGTTAAATAAATATGTTTCTTTCTTCTAAAGAATATTCAAATAATTACGTTTCTTGCATTAAAGAAATAATATAGAATGAAAATTGAAATTATTAATTATAATTTTAAGCTATTTTTAATACAAATTATTTCTAATATTTTTTTTAACGTTTGTTATGTTTTTTAAAATATTTGTAATATTTTTTGTTAATTTCTTTTAATAGTTTTTAATTTTTGTACCGTTTTAATACCTTTATAAACTAGATATTTTCTACTAATATATTTAAATAGTTTACCAAGATATTTAAATTGAAAATATGTATGTTATTTGGAATATAATAGTCAAATATATAGTTTCAAATTTATTCCATTACTTGTATTATAAATGCCTGCACTGATTGATTTGCATTGTAATGCTATCGTCATTTCTAACGAATCTCTCAAAAGCCATATTTACAACACATAACACGGCTAATCTTTCAAGTAATAATATCAAGGATATACATGGTTAATATTTGAAATGTCCACGTATCAGCATCATAAAACTGAAATTATTTGCATAAATAGTTGACAAGATAATGAAAATTCATATACCATCTATTAAACGTCTTCTTCCCTTTCAAATGTAATTATTTTATTGTAGCAGTCAAATCTTCATAGGAAAAAAAAAATTAAGTTCAAACAGAGAATTAGTAAAACAAAAACTGCATTTAAAGTATCAATACCTGATTTAGAAATCTAAGAATTTATGCAATGTTCAAATAAATTTATTAGTATCGCTGAAAATAAGAATACCAATTTTACAAGCAGACATCTGCCAGACAGTTCACGTTATAAAAATGAAAAGAGTGATGTAAACAATAACGCGATAATAGCTTATCGTTTCAATTATAATTCAATATAGTTTCAATTGCACTACTATCAATTAACGATGATATGGAAAACTTATTTTATCATCAAATTTTCTACGAGTTTCGACGTTCTGTAGTTAATTGACGCAAAAAATAGATAATAAATTCCAAAGTATACTTTACTGAATTACGTTGTTGCAATTAATCTTATTAGATAAAATTTCAGTGTACACCAGATTGTTCATGAAATATACAGAAAATACTCGTAACGGATCAACATAAATAGAGAACACAAAAAAAGTAGCACATATTAATATTTAATAAATTGGTAATTTGTCGCTTAATGAGTCGCCGCTCTTTCTATTATACAAGTTGTTTGTTCCTCTTCTGCAATCCTTCTTATATTTTATTATTAAAAACATGAGCATTCCAAATTTTCAATAAAAGATGTAGAAAGTATTGTGCTTTCTACCTAATCTTTTATTGTTTTGAAACGTAAGTACATTATTGTTCTATTTAAAACATTACAATTTTCATTAAATAGAATATTGATAATTGTCAATAACTACTGCTTATGATTAGATTGATGTAGACAATCTAAATAGGTAGTCTTTGCAGTTAAAATTAAAAAATTCGATATTATTTTAAGAAAAAATTTGAAAACTTTTGGTAAGTATGATAATTAGCATAGATTTATTTACTTAATGTTGTAAGTTTTGTAATCGAATACAAAATTTTAAATTAATTTCTTCGCATATTTGACATTTTTTATTTTAGTATTAAAAATTTAATCAATCTTTTTTATTTGATTAGATATAACAAACATAAGAGCAAATTTTATTTACGGAAATAATTTGTATTTCTATATTCTTTAAATGTATCATTATTTAAATGCATTGTTAATATTTCATATTCAGCTGTCATTGAAAGCCAATAAGCTTCAAGCACAATTACGCATGTTTTAAGTAGGTAATTACTTCACTGACCCTAATTTGTTTTTCTAAAAATTTTTATTTGAGTTTATTCGAGCATAACACAAATAAAAAGCTTTATTATAAATAATTAAAAATAAATTAAATAAATAATTTAAAAATAATTTATTAAAACACAATGATATTTTCAAAAAATAAAATATAAACGATATAAAGGATATTGTTATATTTTTTAGAAATTATAAAATTTTGATAATTTTAAACAGATTAAAATAAGAAAAGATATGGTTAAAAATAAATTTATCTTTTTACTTAATATTAGCTGATATGAAAATTTTTAAGCACAGTGAATATGATGAAAAATATTAGTTTACCCAAAGATGCAATGAAAAAAGTAAGAGTGCATATCGTTATTAATCACGCACATTATGACTAGGAAAAAGATATCGATTAGATTTGAATTTTACATATAGCTTATATAAAATTATCTGTCACTATTTGAAATTATTACAAGTGCTACTAATATATGATTTTACCACATATAATTTGTTTTGAGTTCTCTCATAATTAGAGTTCAGATCTTAAATAAAAAAATTATTTTATTATTAACTTTAGTGCTTTGTGGACAAAACTATTTTTTAATATGGCAGGTTATTCTCAAAAAGATAAATATTGGACTCCATCAATTCAAAATCAATTTAATTTTGAAAATAGTAGTTTTAATCAATCTAACCAACAATTTGACTTTGCAACTTATAATGATCAACAATCAAGTGAATATGGAACGTATTTAAATCAAGAATATTTGAATCCTAATCAAACTACTGGATATGTTGGTAATTTATTTAAACCCAATAATTATAATCAGGATTAATAATTTGAAATACTATTTATATTATTAATTGTAATAAAATCAAATATCATATTGTAGGAACAACTTTTACAGATGAAGAAGATGAACCACCACTTTTAGAAGAACTTGGAATAAATCCAGATAGAATTGTACAAAAAACATTAGCTGTTCTGAATCCATTTCACAGGGATGGACAAGCAGATGATGTAAATTATCTTTTACAAGATACTGATTTAGCTGGACCTATAGGATTTTGTTTATTATTAGCAGGATTTTTATTATTAGCTGGATCAAAAGCACATTTTGGATATGTGTATGGATTAGCAGTGACTTCGTGTATATTAATGTATATTTTGCAATCACTAATGAGCAACACTGAAAATATTACCTTGGCATCAGTTGCATCTATTTTAGGTTATTGTATACTTCCAGTAGTTGGATTAGCAGGTTTAGGTATTTTTACAAGTCTTCGTGGATTCTATGGTCTAATCCTAGCTGTAATAGTTGTTGCATGGGCTACTCTATCGTCATCTAGACTATTTTGTGTTATGTCTGGTGATAATAAACAACGATTTTTGATAGCTTATCCATGTCTTTTATTATATGGAGTTTTCACATTAATTATAATTTTTTAAAGTTTTATATAGACTATTTTTTTTATTCATTTGAAAATTGAATTTTTCATTTAAATGATATATCTTAGCAATGATGCAACTATTTAAGATGTAAATAATAAATACATTAATTCTTTTATTACAAAATTGTAAGTTTATTATAAATTGTGTTATGAATTAATTTTAATGTGTATTAACTTTATGTTCATGAAATAAATTGTTTACCTCATATTTTATAAAATTTTTTATATAAGTAAAATTTTATTATTATTGAAGTTCGATATTAACTGTTTCATTAGATTGGAAAGAAGTATAAAAACTTTTATTTCAATCACAGAATGGAGAATATTCTTTAAAAACAATAATTACTCTTTATGACTTAGTAGATAAAATTATCAATAAAGAATTTGAAATTTAAATTTTGAAATAAGTTACAATACAACTATAATGAATCAAAACTAAATTTAAAAACTTAATTCCCAAGTAGTAATAACTATAAAATATTTGGATATTTTATATATACTATTCAGAAAAAAATCAAAGTAAAATGAAATTAATTTAATATTAAATTTCTATAATTATAAAATTAATTAACTATAAATTTAAACATTATAAAAATAAAATAAACAATAAAATAAACATTATAAAAATTATTAAAAGTATCTATCTTTTAATTTGTAATATCTTTTAAGTTGTAAATTGCTTCTTCGAAATTAATAAACATTAATGGCGTACATTATCAAAATATTTATTTATTAATACAAATATAGATATATACAATTTACATTATATACAGTGTATATATAATGTACACGGAAAAAACTACTACTAATAGTATGTATTAAAATTTTAATAGTTTTTTAGAAATCTATAAGAATTTTAACTCCTTTGTAATATAATTACGAAAATATAAAATTTTTTAAATTATTCCATAAAATATAAATTCATATTAACTAAATATTTAAGAATTGAAACGCTGATTTAAGAATAAGGAATGGCAGTGCACGGATATAGCCATATAGGCAAACGTACGTTATTTCTTTCCACTCCTTAATATTATAATTAACCTGAAAGTGGGGGGGCCGTAGAACGCATTCCTACGCGGTAAGTTTCTTAATATATCGTACTTTATCAACTGATTCATTTAAATATAAATTAAATATTTAGTTTTAATTTTAAAAAACACATATTTTAAAATTTTATTATTATATTTTTTAAAATATTGTTTAAATATTACGAATTTTTAATACGAACTATTTCTTTTAGTTACACAAGAAAGTTAAAAGCGACGCTATCTAAATTTATAAATAGTCCATCTGTATTTTTGAGTGGGCAGTCCTTTCACAATCCTCGATGGTAGAAGAATATAAAATTAGTGGATAGGTGTAAAAGTTCCGTTAGTTAATACACCAATATAAGTTTACAGTAAATTTAAGGATTTTATATGAAGAAATGAGCAAAATCAGGTTGGTTAGCATTTATTCTTGATTATTTTTTAATAATTAAGAAGAGAAAAACAATCGTGAACATTGTTCAATATTTTCATTAATAAATTAATATCACATTTTTACATATTAAAAAATTGATATTGTGCTGTATTTTGAGTATTGGGCATAAATTTATTATACCATAAAAAAACGTTGAAAGGTATAGTAGTAGTAACACGAAAAATTTTATTAGTCGTCATCGCGTCAAGAACAAATGGGTGCTACCGTGAGGCCACGAGAATTCGATGCAGATCAACCGAGTCAAACCGAACAGTTAGCTAATTGGATTAGTAGAGTGCGTTCGAAAAAAATAATGTGCCGTAAAAATCGTAAACGCAACCTTAGAATTGAAGCCGTTTTATCGTCAGTTTTATATAAAGCGGAACAGGAACTACGCAATAAACAGCTATCGAGAATCATGAGGTGGCAACAAATGAGACAACGATTAATAGAAGATATGGGTTATAAAGATGGCAACTATAAAACCCGAACATATAAAGACAGTGATTTGAAAAATAACTTGGATGAAAGTATACAAAATAAATATGATGGTATATATAAAGATGATGAAGACAAAGTAAATTGCTATGATCAAATTTACACTCAAGAGCATTACAACACATGGGCAGGTCAGTTATGTCCAGAATTAAGCAGTCTTGACTCATTCATGTCACAATTAAGTGAAATAAAAGCCCCTTTTCAGCGATGAAGGAAAATAATTTTAATATCACAGATTACTTTGATCAATTCAATTATTTAAAAAACCGCCATGAATCGGTTTTTTAATTTATTAAAAGAGATATAAAGATGAAGAGGAACATTCATATCCAACATCTGTATTGGTTCAACATTGCAACAAGATTGATCTAAAATAGATATTGATGAAACATGGTGTACAAATACCATGGGAAATAAATTGTCACCATTTGGTGTATATCTGGGTATTTTTTACTTACAGTCCTGCTGTTTGAGATGGAAATGGTCTAGAAGTTGGGTGTAGCTGTTTCTGGTGATCTTGAGGGACTGCCTCGGAAACCATGACATCACGCTAGCAGGTTTCTATGCCTGTCATCAGTGTGGTTTGTAGATTGTATCAAAGTCAAAGTTTCTTATTTACTTAAAAAAAAAAAAACGTAATTACTTTTATAATTATGTTATTTCAAATGGACTTTAATACCTGTATAACATAAGATTAAATTAAAAAGTTCGTTGTTTAAAATAATGTACATTAGAGAATTTGTAACCTATTTTAATTGTACAATTGTTAAAATTATATTTATATAAAAAATAGGAAAATTAAAATTGTTAAAAATAAATAAATGTATTTTAAAAAGGAGACAACTTTTGATTTCCCAGGTTAATATATTCATTCTTAATCTATTAATTTCATCACTCCTTTTCAGTATGGAATTCATCTTAGAAATCATTCAATCCAGAGATCAAAAAATATTGCAGTTGGGATATTCACAACATGGTTGGCATTACTTGTTATTTTTGGTGAGCGGAATGTTTGTTTTTGGGAGTAATAGGAAAGATTTTTTTCTAGAAATCCAATAATTTCATATCCAAGTTTTTACTTCTACACATTTATATATTGCCCAATCACTAAATCATTCCATAAGAAGATATTAAATGAATTCAAAATGGAAAAGTTGGAGTCAATTAAAAGGGTGAGCGGGTTGATCAATTAAGTTCCTTGAAAATTGCATTATTTTCTCAGGTTAGCTGATATACAATACAAAGACCTTTTGGAAATATCTTTATAAATCAACGGATCAATATTTAATTATGATAACTGAATAATTTATTTCAAATTAGATATTACAATATTTTTGAATACTTTTTAAACTGTAGTTATGGATATATCTGTGTGAAACTAAAAACACATACTACGTTACTAAATGAAAGAAATTTTCACTAAAAGCAGTGTGAATTACATCAAATTAAAGTTATTAAAAATAGATTTTTATTTGAGATCAAAAGTATAATTTACAAGATCTTAAAATAATATTGCAATTTTGATTTTGTATTTTTAAGTATTCTCTACTTATATGTTTATCTGTTTATATATGGGCAAAAATTATCTACTTATATATGGGCATAATCCATATTTGACCTAATGAAATAAGTACAAGAGCAATTTTCAAGAATATAAATAAAATATAAGTAATATGTTTGTAAAAGTACAGTAATATCTTAGAAGTTGCACGATTTAGTTATTTATTTATTGGACTAATATCAGAGTGAGTCATATAATTGAAACCATTTTTTAACTTGAATTACAATAATGTTTATTTTTAATTATAAATTTAATTTCAATAATTCATATATATATATATATATATATATATATATGTATATGTATGTATGTATGTATGTATGTATGTAACAATTAGAAAATTAACATTCGTAAAAATAACATATATAATAGTTTATATTTGAAAATAGAATCTGATTTTGTCTAAGATTGCTTTTACATTTTGAATAAATTTATCTACATTACAATCAAGACAGATAACTTTTCGTTAGCTTATTAATTATTAAATAAAAAAAATATCTTATCAATTGAAAAATACATAGATTAAAGATATTTTAATTGATATGATTCATAATATACTCTGTTTGCTGACTTAAATCTATATTTTTAATAAAAATGTTGAGTTGCAATTGAATATTGATTTCAATCAAAAGTGAAATTTTTATATCATTACAGATAAAACAAAATATACTTAAGGATTTTATAACAAGAAAATTACTCAGAAATTAATATCAAATAAATAACTGCAAAAGAATTTATTATTATAATATTAAGAAAGTTTGAATATACTTACATTTTACCTATGAATAGTAAAGATAAAAAATTCTTTAAGATTTAAATATGGAACATAATAAAATTATGATGATTTAATTAAAATGATTGCAATATGAAATTATAAGACATATTTTAAAATAGATTTATATTTATGTATATATTGTTTTACTTAGTTGTTTTAGCAAAAATTTCCATAATATATTTTAAATGCATGTTATGGATAAATTGCATTTTCTTTACTATAATTACAAATAATTATTTTTACAATTGAGTTTCAAAGTTTGTGCTTGTTTTCTAAATTTTAAAATTTATGATTAAATTTGTGACTAAAATTTATGATTTATTTTATAGAAAAATATATAAAAATAATTTAAATTAGTAATGTTTTCATTGTGGTAACTAATTAATATATTCTTTCCCTCATTTGACCCAAATATTGCTGCTTTCACAGATTGTAATAAGGACAACCAAACATTTTTGTCATATAAAGTATCGTCATTTAAACAACAAGGTGTTAACTAATCATGTCTAAAGTATTAAGGGGGGTGAGGTAAGCAAGTATATGCACATGTAATAAATTTATTAAAAATTAAATGTTTATAATAATTGTACAAGCAGGAACAATTATTAAATTAATCAGAATCTATATTTTATTTAATATATTAAGTATTAAGAGAGGACTGACAATCGAGTTTTAACAAATTAATATAATACAGTTAATTTATATACTTATTTATATTTATTAATAAGAATGTGATAATTATTTAAAATAACATTATCTCACAGTTATCGAAAACAGTTTTTAAAATTCAAGAATAAATATCAGGTAAGAATTTATATAGAAAGATCAATAAAAATTTTAAATGTACAGATATTCAATCAAGGATAAAATATTGAACAGTCAATATTTTTTAGTTATAAAATATAATACTCCAAAGTATGGTTTATTACAAGAGTAAGTATAATATTCAAAAGATTACCTTATTTTATATTTTATATTTGAAAATTCAATAGAGAAAAAATAACTCATTAAACTTTTAAATTGTGGGAAATTAAAATTGAATGAATAATATTGAATATTCATTGAGATTTTGAATAAGTAAAATTTTAATATAATATTTATATAAAATGTTATCTTGGCTATAAATAAATAATATTAACAATAATATTAATAATAAATGTTTTATATATTGAAATTGTATATCATTTAAATGGAACATATTTTCTATATATTAGATTGCAGAAATAGAAATAAGTTTTAAATAACCAAATTATTAGTGTTAAAGATTGAAATTGAAAAATATTTGCAAATATTGAAATAATAGTTACATAATAAAAATGTATAATTCAATCTGCAAAATACAGTGTTTAAGTTAGTATATTTTATATAATAATTTGAAAAAATAGAAATTTTATTTTACTAAATAATTTAATCTCAACAAAAGAAATATTTTTAAAATTGTACTTAATATAATTAATGTTGTGCTTAAAAAGCATACATGTTTTTGTTAAGAACTAGTATTTTATAAAAAATATAGATTTTGTGAAAACACATTTTATATGTTATATGAAATAATTTTATTGATTTAAAAAATTTATAATTTTTGGTTATAATTATTTTAAGTTAAAAAATACTAATTAAAATTAGAAAAGTTAAAATAAATTAAATTTAAAACGATAAATATATCAAATATAGTAAAAAAAAAGGTAGTAAATAATTTCTATTAAATATTTTTATAATGGCATACAATTAAAAAAATTTAGTGTTTTTATTTTTTAGATTTATTTGAAGGAAAAAAATGAAATATTGAAAGTGAATACGTGGTAAGTAATACACTGATTTTTTTTTTAAATTCCCAGTTTTAATTATAGATTTGAAACAAATATAATATGGAAATTAATATATTTTTTATTATTACTAGAAATTGAAAACTAGAAAGTAATAAATATATAAAAATATTGTATATAAGCTTTATTATATTACTGTTTAGAAATGAATTTCAAATATTTTATTTTTGTTATTTTTTAAAAATAAAGTAAAAAAATTGAATAATTATAGTTAAAACTTGAACAATAAGTATATATAAATTTTGATTTGTTCCTTATTTTTTAATATAGGAAATTAGTGATGTAATTGATAAATTGGATTTTAAATAATCACTTGACAATAGCATTTCAAACTTGTTGAACATATAATTTGTTACATGTAGTTTTCGAATACAATTTTTGCACTTGAATTGTTTATTATAAAATATTTTTATGTACTTCGATTATATTAAAATTACGAAAAGAATAGCTTGTAATTTTAAAACATTTATAAATCGTTCAAGGATATATTAATTTTTTTTTGTTAATTAAAGTTAATATGAAAGTAATATATATAAAATTAAAACAGGTTATTTTTGTTTTAGTAACTTATCTATTGTTAATATAAATTAATCTATTCGCCTGATTTTAATATTGTCAATCAACAAGCTTTCTAACATTATACTTTTTTATTTATTAATGCTTGATAATAAATACCGAATAAATACATGTATGGAATCTGATTAATAGGTTGTGTATCACTTTTGACCAAGGTAATAATCGTTCGAAAATATTTTAAATAAATAAATTGCATATTTAAGGAGTTTATACTTAATGTAGCTTAAAAAATTTCGAATTTTATATATTTTTTTTTTTTATTGAATATTCATTATATAATTTGAGAGTAATTTTCTTCAAAGTATTACAATGTAAATTCTGGACAAATATCTTGTGAAATAAAATGTTATTTAATTATTTTCGCATATTAAAAAATTGTTATATAGTAATAAAAATTTAATATAAATGTAAAAAGATGTTCGTGTTAATATATTACGCATGCGCAAATACTAAATTTATTATCTTTTGTAAGTACACTGTTTATTAATAAAAAATATATTCCATTTTTAATTAATAATTTTGATTGAATACAAAAAATATGCGCTGACTAGCTTATACAATTTAATAATTACTGGTCTTATTTTTAGAAAAAATTGCACTATTTCACTCAAATTGTATGTATTTTTATAGAATACTAATATGATAAATTTCGCAAACCTTAATTTATTTATCGAGTATTTTAGACATTATTAGTTAAATAAAAATAGCTTGCTAATAGAGACCGGAAAAATCCAGAATTATTTCCTTAAATTTTTAATATCTAATTGAATAAATCAAATAAAAAACGTTTTATGTAAGTTGGGAAATCACTAGACTGCGTGTATATCGGAATGGATATTCATACAAATTTTCATGAAATCTATTTAATTGATATTAAATATTTATTTCAACCAATAAGGAGACTATTAGTTGCAGAAATTTATGTTCTATTAAACTCGATATCACCTTAACTCTCCTAGAGAACTATCCTTTTGATTCTCTGAGTTAATTTTGCAATTAGTATTTTAAATATGAAAATAATCCACTAACAATCAGCAACATACAACAGTTATTAGTTAATAATTAATTGATGTTAAAGTAATTAACATAAAATTTATTATATATTGAAAATATATGTTTCAATTTATAAAAATTTATATTATATAATTTTTACCGTGAATCAGTATTGAAATGCACACGGATGTATATACAAATTTTTATTTAAACAAATAAACAATTTTTTAAATAAAAATGTACATTTTATATTTAATTAAATATTATAATAAATTTATTCCTATATTAGTATACAGAATTTATGAAAACTATTAATATCATGCTGATATAAATATCATTAATTTTATTATTTTCTTAAATTCTAAATAAAAATTATGTATATAACCACAAATAACCTACTATTTTCTGAGAAATTCGCTATTTACAAGAGATCACAAGTTTATTGCAAAGTTCATTGTGCGTAAGTATGCATACTGAAATAGCTATAAATGAAATTTTCTGAGAAAAAGCTATAAAATAATAGTTTTACGATTATACGTAAAGGCTTGAGAATTTGTTTTCTTTTACAAGAAATGTACACGAAACTGCCAAACAATTTCTCATATTTTTTCTTATTTTGCGTAATCTCCAAAAATCAATTGATATAATTTGAAACATTCTATAGAAACAAATTTATATCTATATTTTAAAAACGCATATTTCATTGTTTAAAGCTTATTAAGAAAAATATTTTAATAATTAATAATATAAATTACGACAATGTTTTGAATTTAATGTATTTTTATATAGTGGTATTTAAAATTAAAAAATTATATAAAAGTTCAATTTTACATTAATTATATAATTATGAAAACAATGAAAAATAATATAAATGATAGTCTACATTAATACTATAAAAAGTAAATAAATTATTTCAAAATTTCTTTTAAATTACTAATAATGAAAGAAAAGAACCCGTTATGACAAAAAATTTTTTACATTTTAAAAGTCTTAACCTATTCTTTTTAAAACTTAGATATATGTATGATCATTGGGTCTTTGAAGAGTAATTTTCTACTAAGTTTATCATAATTGATTACAACAATAAAAACAACTACATCTTTATTATGTATACAGTGTACATTTTTTTATTCTCAGTATAGATTGTAAATGTTCGTAGGAAAGTTGAAATGAGGAAAAAAAGAAAGAAAATATGTGAAAATTATCCCTATTTATATTTTCTCTATAACTACATTTATTGTTAACTGTATATTTTTAAATTTACTAATTTAACTGTTTAATTAATCATTTTAATAATTATCAACCAAGTTCAAAGCAATAAAAAATATTCAATAATAACAGAAATTATTCAACTCATGCATATTTTAGACTAAACTTAGTCAATAAAACCTTCATTTCACAATTTTCTTGTTTTTATTTCAGCTCTTTGCGTTTAAATATAATATAAAATTATTCTTATTCTTTCTTTTTTTCTCTTTTGTACCCTTATTAATATTCTATTGCTATTAATCGATATATAACGACTGTATAATTTATAAAGCCAAAATAAAATGTTGACCTTATATAGCGCCAATAATTTCAAGCTTAAATGTGTAGTTATAATATATTTATATTATATATATAATAACGATCATATATTAAATTTCCAAAGTAAAGTAATAAAAATAGAAAATAATAACATAAGCGATCAATGCCATACAATATAATAATTTAGAATAATGCATCTAGCTTCTTTACGTGAAAAAAATTCCAAATTTCTGTATTCTTAGCACGTGAATCACTAATTGAAAAATTAATTATTATTATCAATTAATTGTGATATCTATGAAATTTTAAATGCTTACTATATTTTCAACAAATTTCAACATTTTTATTATTTTTGGATGATAAATATGAATTTAATGGTTTATAATTTGAATAGAAAGTCATGCTGATTTGTCAATAATCATAGAAAAATTTTAATATTATTTCATTTTCAACTCAATTTTCAATTTAATTAATCAAATGATAAAAATTAAAAATTTGCTCAAGAATTGTACTATAATATATGTGATGTGTGATAGTATAAAATATTTAAAATATAAAACTTGTTTGCTTATATTATAAAACTTGATAGAATTATATTTTATATGAATTTTATTTTTACAAAATTTTCTGTAATATATATAATATAATTGGAAAATAGAAGTTCATTAGATTTAAACATTATGATGGATAAAATTATTAAATTATATTATAGCAGAGTGCATCAAAAGATAGGATGTTATTAACCACTTGGAATTAGCAAAAAATTAACCTGATCTGTAAATGAAAGTGTTTAAATATTTACAAATCACAAGTAGAATAAATAAATTAATTTTTATTACGCAATGGTAAATCTTAATACAAAATATAAATATTAAGAATTATATAGTATTTTAAATCTTTGAAATATAATAGATTGAATAAAATAAAAAAATTAACAAGTTTAGAATATAACACACAGTACATTTTAAACTTAACATATACATACCTATTCTTGTTGTCAATAAAATAAATTGGATAAGTTAAACTCAACTGGTTTTCGTTTTATTTTAATTTGTTGTTTAATTTTGGTAACTAATAATAATAATTAAAATTTCATAAAATATATATAAAACAAAAAACTATATTGTGGCATTATACATATATTTATATACATTCAAGAACTTAAAAGAATACTACTACTTTTTTGTTTTGGTAGTTCGAAGTAATTTTTCTTCTTTCTTCTCATTCATACGCAAAATTCTACTTTCAACATATGCATTTCTTTTTTCTAAAAATTTGCTGTATTCGTCATATTCTAATTCCTTTACTATTTCAATTCCTGCAGTTCTTGCAGTGCCAACTAACATTTGAGTAATTTGTTGCAAGCTCATTAATGCCAGAGCGTGATCTTCAGCTTTAATTTTTGCTATTTCATATAAATGTTTTAGTGTTATTTTACCAACAACTTTTTCTCCTAAATAAAATAATTTAAATATATAATAAAATTCAAAAAAATAATAGATCAATTTGAAAATACTTTTATTAAAAAAACATTAAAGAAATATTAATAAAGAAAATTTCTAAATCTTTTTGAAAATGGAACCAATAATTATTCAAATATAAACTAAATTTTATTATAAAATATAATATATAAATTACTGGACAAATAGTAAAGAAAAATATAAATTAAATCTTTGCAAATCTTAATTTTCTTATAAAGTAAGAAATAGAATTAAAATTTATACAATTTTATACAAGGGATTTAAACAATTATTAAATAAATTATTTATTACTATTGTTATACTCTAATCAATATTGACTTATTTTATTCAATAACTTTCAAATATTTTTTAATTTTTAAAATACCAAACTATTTATGTAATAATTGATTTGAAATATTTAAAATATTTATTGAAAAAATATTTTTTATTATTATAAATATTTCTGCTATTCGCTAAAATTATCTAAGTAATTAAAATTTTAATTCCAAAATAAAATGTTGATGATTTCATTCAAAACATATTCTGTGATATAGTAACAAAAATGTAATTGATTTGTTATAACAATTAAATATTTATTGATATACAGTTAAGTCTAAACATTTTTTTTTATCTTATTACTTACCAATCATTTTACCTCTTTCTAAACCAGATGCTTGTTTTAAATAATATATAGATGAAGGATTATTTATATCTAAGTTATAAGTTCCATCTGAATTTACTTTTATTTTGCATGTCATAGGAATTCCTTCTTTTATATCTGCTGTTTTAAGATTAAATTCTTTTACAAAATTATGTATATTTATATTTCTCTGTAAAGTTTAATTTCATACAAAATTATTTCAATTTTATTCATATTTAATATTTACCTTCTTAATATATTAACTATACATTTTTTAAACATCTTTTATATGTATATATCAATTTAATTAAATGAATAGCTTGTTTTTAAGTAAGTATTAAATGTTCATTCTAACCTGTCCAAGGAATGGACCTAAAGGTGGACTTGCAGAGGATTTTAAACGTTGATGATTTAAATAAAGGTGTTATTTTTTTGGAAAGTTTTAATCGTGATGCAATCTTTGACATTATAAATTTTTTTGTGTTAAAAAATTACTATGTTTACATTGAAAATGTTTCCACGGACTGTGGATATTTTTTTACGCAAATGAATGCAAGCTACTACAGAATAGTGTGTTATGGTGCATACAAAATTGTGAACCGAGTTTATTGGCTCAGATGATAAGATGTATTTACGAAAATAGCAAAAGTGTACCCAATTTTAAATAGTGCTAATGATAGTATTTTCATGTAAATAGTTATTTCGTATTAAAATAAAATGACTTGGTAGATGGATTATATGAATAATAAACAAACGCTATTACGATAAATAAATGGTATTAAAATTAGAGAGGAAACTTCGAATATAAGCTTCATATATTGTATAAAAGGCTATTGTATAAGCATTTAAAGCAAGTTTTCGTATATCTAAAAAAGCGAGTATGGACGTTATGAATTCCACAACCATTGATTTTTTTATCGATTCAAACTGTTTACACATTCAAACAACAAAATTCATCTTTTTTTCTATTTTACATTGCACTTAAATATTCCATAATCGTTATATCCAAATGTCCTATAATATAGTAATAATTCTTCTCTATTGTATATAACACAAGGTCAGTGTAACGCTAGTGTAATCAAACATAAATTAAACGAAAGGAGAGAAATTAAACAAATGTAAATAATGAAAATAAAAATATATTTCATATATTCTATATAACTGTAATAGAGAAACACTTTTCTTTTCAGTTTTGACACCTAATTTTTCATAATTTATCTCAATATTTTGGAATAAAATGAAAACTTTGAAGTTATATCTTTTTCCATATCTACTATACAACTATAAAGTTAATAATTAATAAGAAGTATAGTAATAAGATGTACATAATAGTTTAGTCTCTTCTCATCTAAAATAATCCAAAATAAAGCTGATCTAAAATGTCCATAAAAAAATTAAGATAAATGAAAAATAATATATTGTTTTATTTGTTTTATTCAATGTGTACACTCCAAAAAGTTTTACTACTAATCATATTTTGCCTCTAATATTATAATATAATTTTTTCAACTTCTTGTAACGTAATGCATGTTTTTTTCACATGTATACATAGTCACAATAAACATAAATGTAGTATCTAATAATAAGACGTATTATTTTCCTAATTTCGTATTTTTCTTCAATTTCAATAAACAATTTTATTCTATATTATATGAACAGTACATTGAGTTTTCTTACAAAACTTTAATAAGTAATTATTAATTACTATATATGAGCATAAGAGGTTCAAATGTTTTTATATCTAGTTTAGATAATTAGAAGAATCCTTAATACTAATATAAATATCTGGATATAAGCTTTTTATTTTCTACTGCAGAGACTAACTAAGTAAGAATTATTTGGTTGCTTAATGTTCTTAATAATTAATTTTTCAAATTAAAAATGAAAAAATCAAGAAAGATATTAGCAGATCTTCATATAATATCTGCTAGCCAGCAATCTTTATATTATGTAATAAATATTAAAAGAATTTAATTGAAAACATATTCATATATGATTTAGTTCATGAAGAATAACCGATAATTATTTACCGACAATACCGATATTTGTTATTCAATATAAATTATAATATTAAAATATTTAATATTAAAATTTGTTATTAAAGTACGATGTATCTGAATAATTATGTTACCAAAATTTATCGAAAAAAAATGTCATCTTATATAACAAAAAAATGCAACATTTTTATTTTATAGTAAATTAGTGTAGTTAAATCAAGTAAATTATAAATTATTTTAAGCCAATATTATTTTATTATAAATAAAAAAATTTAATTTGATGATTAATCCTTATAATTGACGCAGCACACATACTCTTTATAAAATTATCGGAATATCCTCGACTTCAATATAAGTTTGATTGATTCAGATCACTTTAAATATAAATAAAACATATCTTTATTTTTTTTTATCTTATTTATGCAATAGGACAGTGCATTCAACGATCAATAAATTCATAGTAATTTAAAAACAATTTCCATGGAAGATTAAAAAAAAAAGATCACGAGTTAAAAAGTCTATAGCCAAACTCATTTATAGACTTGAAAATAAATTCAAAATAAAGATATATTGTGAAAATCTTTTAAGGACATTAATATCTTCTCATTTAACTTCATCGCTCTCATAAAACACTTTTTAATTAAAAAAACTTTTTACGATTACTATTAAAAAGGAAAATATTCATTAATCATATTTTAAAATTATATAATCATAGTAATAAAAATATTAGAAATATGATGAATAATTGTAAAAGTATAACTTTTAATCAAAGTTTTCGTTGAATAAATTAATTTTTAATAATGAATATAAATGATTCAATATTAAAATAAAATTTTATTACAAATAATTGTTTTGGCTAAGGTTCGACAAAAGGTTCATTTTTATTACTGTTATTTATAATTTATTAACTGAATTTATTCATTTTTACATAATTTTTTAATACAAAATAATTATTACTATGTATAAAGTAAAAAATGTAAAATAATTGTTTATAATTTATTATTTGATATCCGAAATTGACATAAATTTGTAATAATTACAGATTTAAAATATAAAATATTTCAAGAATTTTTCTATTTTAAATAATTTTATGTTTGAATTTAAATATATAATTAATGATACAATAATTAAAATAAACGGTAATATAATATTTTTCTTAATAATTTAATCATTTTCTTTATGCTGTATTATTATGTTAATAGGTCATTTATATCAAATTTTTTTAATAATAGCAATTTATTTAATGTTAAAGTTTGAATCTTCATTGTTTATATAAAATGATCTTTTATATAATTTATGAATTTTCATGTAAGATAAATTGGTAAAATATTTTATAAAACCTATAACTTAAATAATTTTATTTTCGAAGCGATAAAAATATTCAAACTTTCACATGTTTGTAAAAATTAAATAATGATTTCAGCAATTATTTTACAAATTATATAAACTTCATAATTTTCTGTTCGTTTTTATTTAAATGGAAGACTGGTATTATTTTACATTTATAACGGTAATTTAAGAATTTTTAATAAAATTTGTAATTAAAAATTGAGGTTAGAAAATGCACTATTTTTTTGTTTTTATGAATAGTATTATTTCATTTTGTAAAAAGGTAAAAAATTCTGATGTATTACGAGATGAGAAAATTTTTTTGAAGATATTACATTTTGATTTTAAATGAATGAAACCAATAAAACTAAGAATAAAATGTTGTTCTGATGAATTTTTGAAAATTTGATGAATACTATTACATATTTAATATATTATATTCATTTTGACACTTATTTATTAAATTAAATTAGAAAGATAGAATTTCATAAAATATATAATTACATGTTTAAAATTTTTATAATTAAGATCAATGCAAATTAATAATTATATAAATTTCAAAAAAGTGTAAAATGCAATCTCATTGATTTTAATAAAATAAGTCAGTTATAATTAATTATTATACTTGAATATTAAATGTTTTAATATTAAATTTTTATAAAATAAATATTTTTAATAATTCTGTAATAGAACAATTTGTTTGAAAATATGGGAATTGTTTTTTCTTAAACATTATTATTTGATAATGTCATTGTTGTAGCTATAATTGTTTGCACTCACTCTAAAGATACTGCAAGGATTGTATCTAAAATCTCTTATACTAATTTTTTCTTGTAGTTTCTCTTCAAAAAATTTTTTTGACAATGAATTCACCGATTTGAAAGCAACTTTTTTTTATAGAAATTCTGCAAAGGAATTTATAACCATTTATAATATAATAAAATGACATTTATTTTTATTATATTTAATGTATTTGCATATGATTATACTTAAAGCTTCATCATTGAATTTATAAGTAATGAAATTATATGAAATTTGTAGATAATAAAAACAATATTTTTATAATAATTAAATAAAATTCCATAACATATTAAACGATTAAAAATCTATATATCGTTTGAACTTTATTTAATATTATATTTAATATTGTATAATTTGAATTTTTTTGTTTTTACAAACTTATTCAAATAAGAATATTCATCAGTACTTTCAATGACAGATGAAGTATATAAAAAGTGTATTTTTATAACTTTATTTTATTTGTATTTGGAAAAATTTTAATTTAAATTAATATACTGTGTAAGCTTCAATTCATAGTGCATTTTATGTTATATTGAATGTAATTAAAATTTTAAGAACAAAACTTCTTAATTTTTTAATATGACTTTTCTAATTTTTTAGAATATGTTAACATTTATTTATATAGTTTTTAAAAATACAGACATTGTGTTACAAATGTATATACTGAAAACGAATTAATTAAAACCTTATTAAGAATAATTAATCTCTTTTGATTACATTGTTTCATAAATATTAAATATCTAGCAATTTTTTTAATAATTGGAGATATAAAATAATAAAAATAAATATATGTATTAATTAAAATTATTTTATTAATCCAATATTTAATTTAAAATGTAAATTTTAATGTGTTTGAAAAACATATTTTGTGTAGAAAGTTTATGTCATAAATATTCTTCTATACATAATTTTAAAACACGTATTTTATGTAGAATTTAACCAACATTAACAATTTTAAAATATGAACTTAAAAAAAACAATTAACAAATTTAATTTATTTAAAAACTATGATTAAGTTTTAATTCAGTTTATGAAATTACTTCAATAACATACTAAAATACATATATATTTCGTGGCCAATAAAAACATATTTTTATTATAGTATTCATCAATTAAAGTTTAGCAAACAGGTTGATATACATCATTTAAATATAATTATTCATAGATACATTTTTAACAGCACAAAGAACATTTTAAAATTAAAAAATTCTTTATTATTAATTGTTAAAAATTTAAATAAAAAAACATTTTAAAGATTACGATTTCAATTCGTTTTCAGTAAATTTAGTTCCTAAATTTATGATTTCATCGATTTTGTATACGCATATTTTCTGGAAATATGAGTATAAAAGTAATATCAAGAAAACTACGTAAATACATTACTTCCATTATATACATATATATATATACATAATGGATACAATATCTAATTTATCGATTAATCCAGCGTTTGACAGCTTCAGACCATTCAATTTCATTTTCATTGCGTTTTTCATCTTCTGCCTCTTCGTACTCATTCTGATGCTGTTGATAATGATCCTGTTCTTCTTGATTATTTTGATTATAATTATTTGTATTATGATTTTGATGTTGAACTTGATGCTGATTTTGGTTTGGATTCTGATTAGAATATTGTATTTTGCTTGTAAGTTGATTATGATGTTGAGTTTGTTGATGACTATGTGACTGAATGGTAACTGTATTATTACGAGCGCGTAACTCAGATAAGAAATTATTTTCTTCTTGATAGCGGCGTTGTAATTCCTCTCGCCAATTGCTAGTATCGTTAGTACTTTCATCATCTTCAACGATTTCGAAATCTATGAATAAACACATTAGCCATTATTTACGCAAAACGATATTTAAAAATGTTGATATTACATTTAAAATTATTTATTATTATCATTTTGACATATGTCGATATTAATGATAAAGTATACATATTTGTATTTAATTTTTTTTATTGTTTTTAATATTTGATTTGATAATAAATGCTGTTAAATTTGATTACATGTATCGTGATTTTTTAGAACGAGTCATTCCTGAAAACACAATTATTACAAGTAAATATCAAATCTATATGTTACATGTTAAAATATAAATGCACGCTAGATAGCACATTGGAAGGATAAATTTATTTAAACATAAACAATGCTTATAAATTCTAGTTTATATGTCATATTTTTTAAATAGTTAATTATACTCTATACACAAACAATAATTTTGTTCGTATTTCTAGGTAAACTTGTTAGATGTTTCAAAATGTAGAAAAATTCAGTACAAAAATTTAATTATATACAGTTAAATTTATAAATACACATTAATCACATATCAATCACAAATGTAAAAACTATAAGTAATAATCATATTATAATATAGTTTAAAATTAATTTAATGACTTTATATAACTTATGGAAAGCATTCTAATTTAAAAAATTGTAGGATATAAGAAAATTGCGTATTTCGAAAATGGTATTTGCGGATCTAAGTAAATTGAAATATTAAAATCATATTATCGATTGAGAGGAATATAATTAATTATACCGATACCAAGAATTACCAACAATTAATATGATTGCGGCTTATGTACTTATGAATCTTACAAATCTGCATAAGAAAACATTGAAATGGTCGGTTTACTGTTTATGTACTTAATAACATAATCTTATAATAGAAAATAGTATAAACAATTAAAAATCAGAACAATCAATTTATAAAGCAATGACAAATCAAGACGATTTTATAATTTTTGTTATTTTATTGTATTTATAAATAATATTGATATCAATATTTATGGCATGTAGACTTTAATGCCTCAATTAATTTAAATATACATAGAAAGCTAACATTTTAATAAGCTTAAAAAGTTTCTTGAATAATTTATTCTATAATAAATTGACCTAGGAATAGTAACAAAAATAGAAATAAATAAATAAATCAATTAGATTTAAATATACATAGAAAGCTAACATTTTAATAAGCTTAAAAAGTTTCTTGATTAATTTATTCTATAATAAATTGTCCTAGGAATAGTAACAAAAATAGAAATAAATAAATTAAAATTTCCCCTTTTCGTTGGATAACTACAGAAAATCAAATTAAATATACTCTATGTAAATTTTTGTATTATAAAAAGCTTACACAGCAGTAATGATATATTTTCTTCCTCATTTCCTATATTTTTCTATCATTCCTATATTTCATTTTCAATTCATATTTCAATTCAATTTATATTCATCTCAATATATATTCATTCCTATATTTCCTCACAAGAAAATTTATCTGACTTTGAAAATATACAAAATACGATATAAAAAATCATAGCAAATGAAAATTAATGAAATAAGAAAATTAACATATTAAAAGTTCAACAAAACCAGTAACTTCTCAATAAATAAACCAAAAAAAATAGTTATTTTGAACAAAAGTTTCAGTGGATAGAATTTTACGACTGATTTTTTTTTTATAAAGTAAAGGATTAACGAATAGAAACTACTTATATAATGCATATTTCCTGTATTCCAGTATAATAAATTATGTATTTTTTTTTGTTTTTTAAAGAAAAACTTTTAATTATACTGAAACTTATAAACATTTCAATCTATCTATGGCTGTTTTTTAAAAAATTAAATTAAAAAACAATTTTTATTACGATAATTTACTTTATCTGATGGTTGAAAAAAATTTTCATTTATATTTTTTAAACATATTGATGCAATGATAATTATTAGAAATCTTTGTGTGGATCGATTTAAAATTTAAAGCACAGTTGTAATTATTTATTGACTATTAAAAAATGAAATAAATTTTTTATTTTCCATTCTACGTTTGTTATTTACTGCCTTAAAATGGTAACTTGTCTCAAGTATTAAAATTAAATAAAGATAATATTCTTGAAGTAAAATAGATAAAATTAATATGAAAAATTGTATAATAAATTTAGGGAGACGTTACGTACATTTTACATCGTGAAGTTTTAATTATATTTTTTTTAATTTTAAATAATACGTAAAAAATATTATATTCAATATTTTTTCTAAACAATATATATTCTTTTTAATAATATATTCTTAATAATAATAAATTTCTGATATATGTATGAAAAAAATAAGCCTTTTAAATAATGCATACTATTTGATACTTGATATGCAACTTCTGTCTTACTTCTGTATATGTTATAGTATAATAATCTCTTAAACTATCAACATTGTAAAAATTTTCTGGTATAGATAGATTAGTAGATTAGTAGATTACTTCTATTATAACATTTACCAATAAAGCCAGTGTCTATTATAAGTCATTAAAGTACAAAATTGACGTACTAATATTAATTGTAGCATATCAATAAAATATACATATAACGAATGCAGCTTACCTAATGGCTTCTTAATATTATGGTGTCCAGAATTATGTAATTGGTCCTCCTCGTCTGAATCTGTAAGCCATTAAAATTCATTCAAGTATGCTATTTTTGATATTCTTTTTATTTCCTTATATCTTGGTTTGGTAAAATTACCTAATTAATTATGCTCAAATATACAATGCAACTGTTGTAAAATCAACTTTTATTAAATTTTTAATGCAGCTTATATTAATAAAGATTAAATACTATTATAACTGTCACCGTAGTTAGAAATAATGTAATTAAAATAAAAAATATTACGATTAAATATATTAAAATGAAATCAACTTTATTTTAATTGATAAATATTATTCTTATGCAATTATTTATAAACTCAGAGTAAAATGTTTGTATAATTTTAATTATTGATAATAACTTTTTATTAGTAATTTAACGACGATATACTTAAATCTAATGTTAAAATCATTAATATGATTATTATACAACACAAATAAATTACATTTATGTAAAGTTGTATAATTACATTTCTCACAATTTATTATAATTACATTATAATATAACATTTTTATAAATATTTATCTTCATACAGTATTTTTTTTAAATCAATTTAATCATTATTAAGCTTTGTCATAATTATAAATTTATTAATATTCGGAATAGTTATTTAAATAAATGATAATATACACACTCAAAAGATATAATGAGAAAAATAAATAGTTTAAAATGTACATTTTAAATTATTTATAATCAAGCTTAAATGTAGATATCACGATGTAGAAAGTATGTTTATAAAATGTAAACGCGCGTGTGTATGATGTGTATAGTACGGAGATCACTATGTAATAATTTCCCCTTTTACAAAGATACTTTAACCGATTTCCCCTATCACCATCCTTCTTCCTTACCGCGTGTAACAACACTAATACGCTTTCCTACGTACATACCCTATCGTCGCAAAAACCATTGTACGTACAAAAAAAAAAACAAAATGTAGGATACAAGAAAATACAATAAACTAAGATATTTTTATTTCAGGTGAAATTCTGTTTTGTATTTTACTTTATACAGTATAAATAAGATTGTGCCATGATGTTTAAAATTACACATTATACATAAATTTGATGTAATTATAAATATAAATTATACGCAACTATATTTAGATTTATATGTAGATGTAAAAATATAGAGGTTCTAAATATGCCTTTATTTGTATCCTTAATTATTTTTAAGTATTTTTTATATGTAAAAGCATCTTATCTTTTTAAAAACTTAATTTGTTGTAATTTATTTTTAAGTAGTTTTATACAAATGTATTTGTTATTTGTTTACATTTTACTATTTTTTACTTTTTTTTAAATACTCCTTCGTTATAGTAAAAAATCCTGATCACACTTAGGGCAAATCTAACTACGAAAAAGAGATCGAGCATTTTAATACTTAAACTGGTTCATAATATTTCTGTTTCCATTAAAAATGGTTTGATTGAATATACGAATGAATATACTAGTTTTATTATTATATTGTATATGTTCTTATATAATGAAAATTGAAAATCTAAGATTGAAGACTAAATGTGAGAAATATGAAAATTCTTTTCTAAATAGTAGTAAAAGATATAAAGGAACAAAATGTTAACATTGTTTTTGCGAGATTGTCTAGCGTTATTCGGAAATTCAATAATTAGAATACCACAAATTTTGAAACTAACAATCAAATTGTAATAAGTTTTTATTGAATTTAAGAACTACAACATTTAATAATCCAATTTTCTAACCATAGATATTAAAACAAATTAATTTATCTATTCTAGAAATTGCCTTTTAATATTTTATAATTCTTATCTAGGTAATTTAAATCACTGTAAAATCTTAAAAGAATATAATTAATTAATTTAGTGGATTCATTTATACTTGTGAAAGTACAAAACAGTGGAGCCATATAAAATCAATGAGGGTATTCCTTCAAATATTTTTGCATGTTCTTTTGTGTTAAATAGTTAAATTTCTAAAATATCAAAGGAAAAGTAAAACTATTATTATTGCAACAAGAGGCTATAAAAAAATGAAATTTTGATAAGAATGATATGTTATTGTAATGAAAAATTGAGATGATATTTTATCACCGAAATATAGAAATTGATAAATGAAAGCCACATTTGAAAATAAATATATCAAGTACATTATTAGAAATAAATGATGAGTGAAAGATGTAATTTTAAAAAATTGTTGAATAGTTTATAATACTGAAGACATAAGATCAAAATACAGATAGATTTTCCAACTTGAACTACATGGCAATTAATCTTAGGCTATATATTTTGCATTATTGTATTATATATTATTGTTTTATTATTGATTTGCATTAATTAATAATTTATTTATTACAACTTCACGCTAAAAGAGTTATTACACCTTAAAATCTCTTCCCTCCTTCGTCATATTGTATGCCATGTTTTCCGATAATACCGTGTTGTTATCGTATATTTTTATAGTAAGAATTTGCAATATAAAGAAAATTGTTATTAAAATTAAATGAAGATTTTCATACAAGAAAAATGGTCCTTAGATTTCATGATTCTCTTTTTTAAAATGTTTTGTCATAAGTTTTATTGTTGATTATAAACATTTAAAAAAAAAAAGATTTAACTCCGATACTGATAAAATACATTTATAAAATAAGAGTTTATTTAGTGAATTAATGCAAATTAAAAGTTGAAAAATATACGTACAATTTAAATTTAACAAAACCATTATTTTAAATAGAAAATGAAGTTATAATTGAATTACTTGGAATTTATAATGATTATATCTGAGAATTTGTATTTAATTAATACAATATATTGTATATTAATTTAAAGATTTATCACAATCTTAATGTACAATTATTAAAGATATCAAGACTGTTAAAAGAAACGTTGAAAGATCAATTTATAAATATTATTGTTACGAATGATTTGGTGAGAGAGATATAAAGATTTTATTAATTGTATTGTATGATGTTTTAATATTATTTATAAAACAAATAGTATATTTTTTAATAAATTTGATAAATATAAAGTCGTTATGAGCAATGAATTAATTTCTTATCATTTAAAGATAAATTTGTAATATAGTCAACATTTTTTATTGTTATTTTCAATCTAATTTTAAATAAAATTTCCATTAGATTTTTTAATACTTAACCTACAATTAGTATAAATTATTAAATATCAAATGAAATTTATTAGATAACGTATTTATATGATTAAATTAAACAAATTTATTGTTAAAAAACATACCTGAATTCAATTCTCTAACAAGCGATGACATGGCATTAGTGACATTGTCCGCAGCTATTAAAAGATCATTCCTTAATGATCGTCCCAAGCTATTATTGGTACTGTTGGAGCTACTTCCTGGTAAACTGTTTGTCCTGAATGCAGACCTATTATCGAAAATCTCTCATTTTGTACATAATGCATTTACTATTTGGTATGCTTATTTCAGCAGATGAATTGAACAATAAATAAATATATTTTCAATTATATAATAGTACAATACCAGTAATAAAAATATCATTAACTATTAAAATATACCATTTATTAAGAAACTCTATATTAACTATAATTAAAACTAAATAAATTTAAAGTCAAGAAAGTATATACATGAAATTTCAGAATGTTATAAATAGTATAATTCAATTAAGATTTTATTTTGTAAATTTAATATTATATAATTAATATTAAGTAATCTCTTATAAAAAATAAATAGAATTATTATTTAATTAAATTTGGAATACTTTCCGGCAACTTACTAACGCAGTGCTGAAAGAGGAAGATGGATTGGGCTTTGAAGTACATGGATAGCATTATATACAAAAACACACACCAAATAACAAAAACAAAAAACAATAGGAAGTGGTATTCTATGTTTTGATATAATGAATAGCGAAAAAGTGGAAATAAACAGGAGTAGATATGAAGAAAATGAAAGAAAGTTAAAAAACACAAATCTGTTAGCGAAAAATAAATCATCGCGCATTAACGAAGGAAGTAGCTACCATTTATAAGAAAGTTGTATTTTACACGCAGAAATCGTGTAGTGTATACAGGCTTAATGGCATGTCGATGACTTGAGACGAGTTAATTGTGCGTAAAAAGTTGTTACAATGTAGACAATGGTATGGTGTGGTTACAAATTGTACACTTTAAAATTTATTAAAAGCATCCGTATTAAAAGCCTATTCGTATTGACTATTCAGCCCGCAATGCTGAATGTATTTCAATGTTTTTAATCCTTGGCGAATTTAATTATCATTACAGGTAAATTAAATTAATATATGGATGACATGATTAATGTGAGTAATCAACATAAGAATGCACGAAAAAATACGTATTTACAGATGTATAAAATATAGTTTAAAAGGTTCTTGTATTGAGATATTCAAAGTAATAAACTTCCAGAAGTTTTTTTTATATAAAATCACATAGGCCTATCACAGAGCCCTATTCGAAGATATAAATCCAAGATCGAAGATACACTTAATAGTGAATTTTAAATAATTTCAAAGTATTCCTTTATTTTAATAATAATTAATTAACATGAACTAATATATTGTATTTAAAATTAAAATTAATTTGATTTATATCAAATAATCTTGTTGTACTAGTACAATTCGATAATATTATTTAATTATTAATTATTAGAAAAAAATAGTTTAAATAGATGAACTTTAAAAATATCTAATATTCTAATAAATATAAATTCAGTAAATATTTTCTTTATTTAAATAAATTTTTAATAAATAAAATGATTTGCACATCTCTAGAATACTATGAAATATTATTACATTTATGCTAATTTTAATTTATATAAATAACTATATACATTAAGTAGTTATGTGAAGAATAATTATATAATAATTATAATCGTAATTAATAATTTATAAATTATTAATATTGATAAATAAAATTAAAATAAAAATTTTTATTAACATTAATTATTAACATTATTAAATATAATGGAATGACAATTATATACATTAATAATAAATCACAATATGAAGAATAAATAAAATATACATACTATAAATACTCAAATGATTTTACATTGCTGTATAAAAATTTGTTTTATTATTGACAAGTAAAATAAAATGGTTCCGTTTTTAAAAGGATTATTATTTCTAATATACTAATTTTTTTTATTAAATTACTTTAATAAAAGGATATAACAATATATTATTTAAAGAATATAAATTATTTGTGTTAAAACTATTTAAATTAGGCGTACTTATATATATAATTTTTAAAATATAAATATAAATAAATTTTTAGGTGTCATATTATAAAAAAATATTAAAAATATTGAAAATTAAATAATTATAGATAACTATTGGATTTTATAAATGGATTATTCATTGTAACTTTTTTATATTATATATTACATATATAATTTGTACACGAATTACAAAACAAAATAACATGATAGACTTAATTATATTAAATTGAAATAATTTTCTTAAAAAACACAAATAAAATTTGATTTTATCTTATATCATAGACAAAATAAATCCTTTGTGTAGTATTAGAAAAATAAGTTATTCACGAAAATTTTACATAATTAATAACTTGTCTCTAAATTCATCTTTTTTATATTTAAATATTATATTGTTTGATCATCTTTGAATTTCAAGTCGTTCATACTCTCTCTCATACATAAAATTAGAATAATGTATGATGTATTATATATGAAGAATAATACAAATTTAGCTTCTGACATCCTAAAAAAATTTTGGCAATTCGGGGTAATTTGGGAAAATATAATTCCATTTTCCGCAAAATATTAAAAATAGTTTTTTATTGTATATACTGCCTTACTATTAATAAAAATTGATCATTTTGATAACACTTTGTTCAATATTCATGATTATTTTAAAATAATTCCTTTAATATTAAAATATTTTATTTGCAAAAATGTGAATGTGAAATTGAAATCAAATCGATCAGAACCATTAAAGGATCAATTGCTTAACAATATTCATTAAAACAAGAGTCAAATCTCGTTAAAACTTGTGTGATTTTGAAAGTCAGAAATATAATTTTCCTATAATTTTTAATTTTTAATAAATATCTTACAAAAATAGTGAATAATAAACAATTTTATTTTATTTATGAATGTAGAAAGTTAATTCTCATTTCGGCTTACTAAAAATATATTGTGAAAATTTTACATTAAATTATTTCCAAAATCTTTAATAATAAACTATTGAAATATATCTAAATTTTATTCTATTTTTGTTAATATAGCAGGTTTTATATTGATAAAGATTATAATTAAGCGAAACACATTCGATATCACTAAATATATATGAATTAAATTTAGATTTTAATTATTAGAAATTATCAGAATTTATAGCATATTTTCATTAATTTTTTTTAGAACTCTTATCTGTGGTGCTTTTAATAAGGGATTCGCAATATTTCGCAATTTTAATCAAAAACACACATAAAGATAATCGATAGACTGATTATAAATCTAATTTGTCTGCGTTATAAATTATATTTAATAAATTCATACTCAGGTTAATGCTAATTTATACAATTAATACATACAATTACTCTTTCATGGCAAACACTATTTTCTGTAATTTTACTGTATTAAATACACAATACTTCTAATAATAAAAGTAATTTGCTTTCTTGATTTTTTTGAAATAGTAAATTAAAAAATTTTAATTTAATGAATTTTAGAAATACATGACTTTTAATAAAAATTAAAAATTATATATTTAAAACAGAATCGAGTTAACTATTATGCGTATGTATATATAAATTGATAATATTAATAATTCGTATATTTTTTTAAATTAAAGCGGAATATCATTTTCATTTATAAATACAATTAAAATTAAGAATCAAACCTAATTTTTTAAATTAATTTAAATTATATAATGGTAATACTTTATGTTAAATTCAATGTAGGTTCGTATTATAGTCTAATGTCTATATGTAAGATTCTTAAAAAGATATCTACTTTCACGATATTCAATCTACCTATCATCATTATTAAGTAACACTATCACGTTGTAGTTACGTTTATAAGTATTATTATAACTTGATATTATTATTAAGTTTAATACACAGCAGTATAATCTTATTGGATATAGTTGAAAATTCGTTCTTTTTATGGCTTTTCAAATATTTTTTATTATAATTTCTATCTACAATCTTTTTTTTTAAATATTAGAGATGATAGTTACATTTTTTTTTTGTAATATAATTGCTGTCAATAATGTTTAATAACTTCCTTTATCCTTATTCATCAAATAATTAATTGTCCTTACAGATATGAGAAACCCTGCTTTTCTAATATATATATATATCGTCAACCATATTCATTAATATATTTTTATGGCTTTCACATGTTAAGAATGACATCCTCGGTTTTTTAAGGTCTTGGTAATAATAGGATTAACAGGGGTCTTTTTTCTTAGTTTTCGTAAACCGTCTTTTTGTCTTTAAAACATTATATTATTTTTTATAATGAAAAAATAAAAGCCTTTTCCATTTTTGGTATGGCATAGTTCTTTGATTTAGATTTTCTTTTTTCGTGCGTAACACCTGTGATTTTTATTTATTGTTATTAGTGAATACGTCTTAAGCAACGATAATATTTATAAAGTTATTGCAGAGCAATCTAAGTACTTGAGGAAGCAGCATGAATTATGGCGTTATTATGCAGTTCAAAATATGTGAACCAAAATTTTGCAATGTATTTCATCGCGCGTTGAAACTTAGGAAACTGCATTGCAAGAATTTTATGAAATTTCTGTAATTCGATTAATATTATTAATTAACAAATTATTTATCTTAAACATTACCTAAATAAAATACATATTTTGTTTATAATTTAATTCTTGTTTATGATAAGGCCTTTTATAGTATGAAAAGCAACTACAACTTTTGTTGAGTTATGTTATAAAAACATGTTTATAATAAAAAAACTTCAAAAAACTTTAAGATAGTAGTGTTGTGAAGGGCCAGATATATATATATGAAACACTATATACTCAAAGTCGATTTAAAGTATCTTTTAGATCAGAGAGAATGTACAACTCAATAAAATAATATAACTAGCAATATAAACGTGAAGATTAAAAATTATAAATTGTAACTGGATTTTAATAGACATCTGAATATATCTAAATGTTAAAGTATAGTGCAACATTTATCAAAGAGATCTATTCTAATGATAAACAGAACAATTAAGTTTATGTATATGAATAGAAAATGAAATGCATTCAGGACATCGTATTTGCACAAGGTCCCTATGCAAATTTTATAAAAACTATTATACAATGTTTTTGTTGATGCGACCAATAAATTTAAATTACATTTTATATTTATCTGACAATATATATATATATATATATAAGTATATTTCGTT